AAAAATATGTTCTGTATCCTTGTGTCATGTCTTGATTTTGACTGTTTCAGATCTGCATTTCCACAGCTCAAAAGAGCTTGAGGCACTTTTGGGTTTTCTTACATATTAATTAATGCTTAATAAACCATAAACAGTCTTCCCTTTAGAAGGGATCACAAAAAACAGTAACTAACAATTAACAACTCCCTGACATATTCATGCATTGCAGTATTAATAGATCATCTATTCATGTTTTATTAAGTATGAATAAACAGCGAATAACGACCTTATGCATGACCTTAGTCACCAGGAGTAAATTGTTAGTGAATGTGTTATTAAGTATGAGTCATGCTTAACTAATGTTTTTCTCATCATTAATTAAGTACTTATTCATGGTTAACTAAGGATGAATAAGGTGTAGTTATTATAAAGTGTTACCAATATACAGGCCTATTAAACGCTTTAAATAATTCTCCTAAAGGTGTTAGTCTTTAACAGATGAGCCTCCCTCCTACAGAAAACGGGGGTAATATTGTCCCAGACAAACGGATTTCTGAAAGCTTCATGGGCCAAGACCAGATTGAAGCTGTTACATTTTAAACAAATTAGTGGCAGCAATGTGTAATCTTATTTGTGAATTTCTCTTGGTTATTAAAGTTAGTTGCATTACAGCTACAGGATCAGGTTTATTTTTTTGTGCAGACCTGTTTTGTTGTGGTAAATATCATTTAAGCTCTTTTCCCCAGGCCTCAGTGTCTTGAGGGGTGGCAGACTGGAAAGTCTTTATGTTACAGTAAAATAGCTTATCTACTTTGCATCAGTGATGTGGACAGATCCCCCACTGCTCCTTTCATGTCTGAGGGGTATTGCACCTGCTTGTGTGTTTTTGTTTGTAAGTGCTCACCTGATGGCTCACATCATGTTCCATTAGCCCACATGTTCCACTGGCTGCATAGAGAGACCACCTCTCACACATTCAGCCAAAAAGAAAACCTCTCGTTTCTCCCACAACCTGTAAAGCTCATGATAAAAACAGATGTTGCTTTTAGTGTTGTCTTTGATTACTTTTTTAATTTCCCTTTTACCCATTGTTTATATTTTGTACTTTACGCATCAGTCATTTAACTCTCCATCAATAGAATTTTATTTTTTAAAATGGTACAAAACAATTATTTGTACATAATATTATACAGACAAGTGTCTGTGGTATTTAGCCAAGCCTCATTTATATAAATGGTGTGGACAAAATAATAGAAATGCCTGCCATTTATTTCAACAGCAGTACAAGGTGATCATATAGTTAATGAACAAAAACTGAATGTTATCATTTTCACGAAGGGAAGATTTGGTGAAAGACAGCTACTGTACCTAATAAAGTGAGTGTGGTCTGCTTCAGTCAGTTTTTCTCTTTTCTCCTTGGTACATTTGTGTATACGTAAGACCAAAAATAATCCTGCCATCCTGATCACTTGATTTCTGACAACTCCGTTTTAGTCAGATTTGATCTGGGGGCTCATGCTTGAATTTGTGAAGCTCCTTTGAGAAAGTCCTATTATGTAATGCCCCTACAGTAAGTTCCTAAATGTATGTGTGTGTGTGTGAGTACATGCACACTACCAGGTGAGTGCATGTGCCTTGGTGGCGCTGCTTAGCAACATTGTGACGAGTAGCTTTTCCACTTTGACCCCCAACTAATGACTCTGGACAGGATGTGCACTAGAGGAGCTCAACCATTTACATTAAAGAGAGGGACAGTGAGAAGAGTCGCCTCGCTCATCTGTGTGTGCGGCTAACAGGGAGAGTTATTTAACCTAGTTCTACCAATAGACAATAAAAAGGTCAGTGAGAGGCTGCAGATGTTATGCATGTACTTTTCATTCAGCTGACTGAACTCCTTCATTAGCAGCATTTGAACAAAACTGTCCTAATTGACTTTGATGGTGGACAGTGTTTATATGGCTGTTGCCAGCGCCACATACGCTACAATAATCAGTAACAGGAACTGAATGGTACATGACCTTAAAATTACTGTTAAGGATTTAATAAACATAGAGTAAAGTGGTCAGTATAAAAGGCTCAGCAGCCCAGGAAAAAGCATTACTGTGGTTCAGTTTCCACCTGATACTGTTCAGCCACGGTGTTTCCCACAGGAGGAGAGATTACTGGTGGTAGTCGACCCCCTGGGAAAGGTCTTGTAGGGAAGACACATCAGACTTCATTACGGAAAGCACTGAATTTATGAGCCTGCATCCAATTAGGGATTTGTTCCCCAGTGTATACAACTATGCAGTTTACAAGCATAATGTTGAAAGGAAAAAACACTAGCGGCTAACATTTAAAAATCATGTTAGCTAGACACAAATATATATGGGTAAATTTCGTAAATGCTGAAACACTGTATTAAATAATATTTTCATTTAAAATTCATACAAAAACTAATCAAACAAGAATGTAAGTACACACAGTATGTGGTATAGAGACAGAACAATAGCAATCTTTGATCCAAAAAATAAGCAGCACCACAGTCTAGCAGTAAAAGAGAGAAAAATAAACCTTGTTGCAAAAATGTTAGGTAAAATCTTACAGGCTAATTGTGATAGACGCCAACAACCTGTAAATTCCTACAAGTTATGTGAGAGCAGGTGTGACGCCACACAGGCTCTTATGTTAAAGTGAGCACCTGCTTTTTCTCAGTCCCCTCGGAGTAACTGTCACACTAATATGATTACCACCACAGAAAGGTACGCTGCATTAGTTCCACTTCAGCTGATTGTCGAGCACGGTGGCACAGGAGCTGTTCGTCATATTGGCAGACCTCATCAGATACAAAGCCATAGAGAAGATTCTGATTAGTCTGTACTTAGGCATAATTAATTAAATCTTAAACAGTGTTATTGAATTTTAAATACCCGAAGATTAGAAAATGCAAATGAGAAAAACATAAAAATGAATTTTTGTCAACTGCTGGACGGTATGATCTAATGTGATCACTTTGATTTGGCGTATATGCTGCCAAATATACAGTAGCCAAAAAAACAGTAAATACATATCCAGAAAAAACTGAAAGATGAGAATCTGATACTTTACAATATACTTTGCCACAGAAATATATATTTTCAGACAGAGCAGTGTGTAATGTTAAGATAATTTAGTCTTTCCTGTTATAAAAAAATCAATTTTAATGACTCAGCCTATTAGTAATTCAGTCCAGTAGTTCAGTAATTCATATTAATGAGGCAGTAGCTAAATTCAAACCTGACACAAAGCAATAGCAGCTATACTAGTCCTGCAAAAATATTACTACCCTAGCTTAGCAGAGTAGCTGTAACTACCTATCTAGAGTTTTTGAAAGATACACTTGTAGCAGTCTTTAAAATTGTCCATAGATTCTAAAATAGTTTCCTTTAAATGTAATTATTTAATAAAATGAAGGCATTAAAATAGCATTTTATCTCTTACACATGTTTGACCTTCAATTTCAAAATTTAAACCCCCTTTTTCTCAACTTTATGTTTTTGTTAAAGCACTTTTAAGCAATCCGCTAACAAAACACTCTGCCAAACTAGGCTGGACTCAAATGCACAAGTCACACCATTTAACAGTTCACCTTTATTCTTCCTAATATAAATAAGGGGAGAAATGGAAATTGAGAAAACCCAAGAATAAAGAATAGAAAGCTACAGACGCTACAGCTACAAAAGCATAATAGACAATCTAGCAGAGGATAGGTGGAAGTGGGGTGACATATATACTGAGGAGCTAGTGGGGGGATGGCAAACAGGTACGGAAGTATGGAAATGAATGTGGAGAATCAGGTGACAAGGAAAGAAGGGAAATGTTGGGATGCTGCTGGGCAGGTGGGAGAGAACAGTTCATAGAATAGCAAAAACAGAGAATAGAATAGCAAAAACAGAGAACAACTGAATAACTCAATGAACCTTAATAAACTGTGCCAGTTTTTGTAGTTTTTCTGTGAGATGACACTTATATTCCCCACAGTGTTGCTACCTGCCTATCCATTTATTGTTGCACAAACTCTTTTCTGCATCAGTAATCCAGTATTACTTGGGCTGTAATTTATAGTCATTATTACTTTGATTGGCATTGAATTTAAAAAAAAAGTACTGAAATGCATTTAGATTTGCCAGAGAATATATATTGTTTATTTGGTAATATTCCTGGAAGAAACAAGTTTTGTCAACTTGGTTTGTTTCATATGACACTAAGTGTCCTCTGCCTGTCAGATCGCAGGTTTCTGATTGCCAATGCCCAGATGGAGAATTGTGGCATCATCTTTTGCAATGAAGGCTTCTGCCAGATGTTTGGCTACACCAGGGCAGAGATAATTCAGCAGCCTTGTACCTGCCAGTTTTTGGTGGGTCCTGGGACCATGAAGAGTGCTCTGGCCCAGCTAGCACAGGCTTTGCTTGGCTCCGAGGAGTGCAAGGTGGAGATCCTCTACTACGCTAAGGAAGGTAAGACAAATAATTTCTTAATTTCTGGAATATGGAAGGGGAAAAATAATAATTACATTTTATCTAGCGGATTGCGTGACCCTGTTCACTGTGCTAAATTATGGTTAAAAATACAGCTTCTAACCTAGTTTTCCTGGTTTTAAAAATAAATGGATGAACATGTTACAACTGATGAATACAAAGTTATTTACCCAAAATAGTACATGCTAAGGATATGGTGTTTGTGATGTGTATCATCAAGACTACTCATTTTAATTGCCAAACCAGTTCATTCACTTTGATCACAATAATCCAGTGTAGTGTAAAGTGTCAGGATCTGCAGATGTGTTTAAGATAATCCTTATTCAAGGAACATGCAGAAGGTTTTTAAAATCCAAAGTGATTCTGCAAAGATTTGTGTCCCTTCACATTTCTGTTGTTACTTACTGTAGTTCAAACTGGAGAATCACATTCAGATTTCCCAGATTCTAATCATAAAAATGAAATGCATTTAACATGAGCGATCCAGAAAGCAATTTCAGCTTCGCATCATGTGTGGTGACCGTTCACAGTGGTCTGCCATGTGTTTTGCAGACCCCTGTGTTCTCTCCATGATCTTGAAAATCAGTCACCATGGCCAAATCATGGTTTTGTAATCAGGCTTTAAATCGCACAGTGTGTTCTCGGCACTGAGTCACCTCCCCAGCGAGACCAGGCAAGCAGACTCAGCATTGTATTTTTTATCTTATCTTAAGCCCTGTTCCTATTGATGCACAGCTGCTTTGCTCCTTCTGCACAGCCATGTTGTTTGTTGGTGTAATGTTAATCCCTCCTCCTCTTCCTCATCATCAGTCTTTCCCGTGCTTTATTTCACATCCCTATACCTGTATTTGCCTTTGATTTTTAGAAACAAAATAATAATTGTCACAGATGTGAAAAGCAAGAAGGAATGTGTGATGATATTAAAATTTTAATGAGAGAACTGAGTGAGAAAACAAAGAAATAACATTGAGATGGACATTTACTGAACATTCTCTCCTCTTAAAGCCTCATTTCCTTTTCACTCTGAATTTACTTTTACCTCCTTGTTCTCTTTCACCTGTTAGAATCTTCACCTGCTTGTCTGTCACTGAGGTAGAAACATACGATGGAAACAAGTAAACACACCAGACTCAGGATGATCACAGCCACCCACCATAAACCCAACCACGTTTAACTGTCTACACACTTACACACGTGTCTTTGCTTACTTTGGGCATTTGGGCATGAGGCATGCAGTGTAGAGAGCTGTTGTCATGGAAATGTGTTAGCGTGCCATCCCACTGAGCAGCTATTTGTTTTGTCTCCCTCTTCTTGCTGTGCTCCCAGAATGGATAGGCAGAAACATTTTTGAATAAGCAGATGAAGTGATTCACCTTTTACAGGCTAGTTTTTTTTTGCCTCCAGACTAAATTCCTGTCCTGGGTTTCCTCAGGCTGGATGTGTGAATGGGACTGAATGCACACACACACACACACACACACAACACACACACACACCTGTGTGTGTGTGTGTGTGTGTGTGAGAGAGAGAGAGAGAGAGAGAGAGAGAAAGATCTGCCCTGTCGTCCATATCTATTTTTAGCCCATACTGATTACAGTCTGAATTTAGACCTGATGGAAGTGTTGCCCATTTTGCCAGTTTTTTTAGAATCCCTCTTTTTCCCTTCAATTCTCTCTTCCTGTGATTTCCTCCCTCATGGCCTTCCTTAAAAGCATTGTAAAAAAAATTTCAGGTGGCAGTGGTCACAGGTTGAAATCTTGGTGCCCGCTGCTTTCCTTTTCATCTCTTCTGCCTCTCTTCCTGTGTCTACAGGGACCTGCAGGCCTTGTCTCGTGGACATTGTTCCCGTAAAAAATGAGGAGGGCCTTGTCATCATGTTCATCCTCGACTTCCAGGAGTTAATAGATCCTTCTGTCAAGAAATCTAGCCTTAAGCAGAGAGTCACGCAAGGATGGATTTACTGTAAAACCTTTAACATTTGTATTATACCTCCCCTGCATGACATACATTTATAAAAGCTGCCTCTCTCTTCTCCTGTGACAAGCTAATAAATATGATAAAATTTAATTATTATATGCTCATATGTAACTATTTTGCTTTAATACTTCACATTAATCAGTTTGTGTCACTTCTCATCATAGAGGTCAGGACTGACATTTTAACTGTTAACTAAACCATGACATTAGCTTCCAGTCATGGACATAGAAATTACCAGCTGACAAGCATTCTCAGCTAGCAGTCACCAAAAGTGTCTGTCTAAGTGTATTTTTTGGTGACAAAACATAATTATATGTGAACATAATATAAAGTTTTAGTTTTGATCAAAGCTGAGCTGAACACAGAGTTTCTCCCTCAGGTCAGAATCGCAGGCTAAAGGTGAGATTGCCATTGTTACGGTCCTTACGACGACCTTCACTTTCTAAAGATCAGTTTGAAGGAGTGGTAGTGGACTACCTGCAGGTGAGTTGGTGTACACACACATGCACGCCACATTCTGGCATGTGATCATGGGTTCTAAATCCTGCACATAAAATAAGAGTGCAGCATGTCTGTTGCACTGAACTCTTCACTGACAAAGCATTATGCCTTCACCACCACTCCAATGACACTTAACTGTTCTTCACACATGCATTAAAAGCACAAAACAAAGAAAAACACATTTTGCACTCAAATTGTTTAGAGGCAATGCAGTCTTCTGTTGGTTTGTCCTATTTGAAATATCTGCTATTAAATACAGTATGCACTGTGTAGTTTCATATGTCAAAAGATGCCAAAGGCAAAGAATAATGGAAATTTTATTTTTGAGGAAAATGTTTGAAAACATATTTCTGTCTTCTCAAAGTCTTTCTCTGTTCTCATATTTTGGAGAATCATGTCTTGTGTTAAAGCTACATTAACTAACTTCTTCCTCTAATTTTCAACCATTAAAGGCAAAGTAAGAATCAAAACAAACTCAAGCAGTATCCCCTCCTCTTTTCCCTCTGCTCCTCCCTGCCCCACCTGCCCTGTTTCTGAAACTAGGTCAGATGTGGTCATGACAGCCAGATAGTTGTAGCAGTCAGGTAGCGCAGCAGTAATAACCAGCTCCAGAACTAATGTATACAGAATATAGAGCCCATAGAGCCCATGGTGTTTGATGGCATTGCAGTGATACAATGTCAAATAAAGAGGTTTAGCAATATGTATACATATGTCTAACGTTGTTTGTAGTGGATGTATCTGCAGTAACACCAGCAAATAATACAAAGGCAAATTTTCGCATCACATTCAATATTACATACTTGACACACATAACCATGAATTGTATGTGAAATGAGAAATTTCATGTTATGCTTTGATAGTTGAACAACTCCCCACTTTTCTAGCTGTGTTGATGGTGTAAATTGTAACAACTACATGGACTTTAGTGTTATATCCGACATAAACTGGACCAAACTGAGGAAAAATGAGCCAAAGTACTTCATTTGCTAACACACTGGTTTCCACTAATTGGGCAACAAGACACTAATGTTGCAGTCAGGTGGAATGACTCCAAATTACAGCTAGAGTAATTAAATATAAAGGTAAAACATTTAAAAGATAACATTAGCTTGCTAATGATGCCGGCATATAATGTTAGCTAGCAACAATACTAGAAGGAAGAAAGCCACGTCTGCATCAAATCTTAGTTCTTTGGATGCTTTTAATGCTCTTCGTCTCCGACATGCCAAACCGATATTAACTCTGGTTTTGGATCTTTGCTGGTTCATTGCTGCACTCCTTCTGTGCTATAACACGGCCTCTTGGGTCTAACAGGTCAGCTCCCATCCTGGGTTGTACCTGCACAGGGAGCCTCCATGGTCCATCTTTGAAATGAGCCATACTGGTTTGAAAAATGCATCTAATAACCTTGGATCAATCGGGGCATGGAAGAAGTATAGTGCAGACTTTAACAACACTGGCCACAGAGGGCAAGAAATAAACACAGGAGAGTGTGGTGGGGGTTTAGCACAGCAGGGAGACAACACTTCTAAAGAGTTTTTTAGTTGATTCATCCAAATATGTGCTAAATCCTAGTTAATGCAGGTTTAAACTATTTCCTGACAGCATCCATAGCTGACAGTGGAACTGCACTGGGCCAATCTAGGACTACTTTCTATTTTGCATGCAAGATGTAAGTGGGGTCCGTTTCAGAAAATAAATGGTTCAAAAAGAAAATACTATGACATTTGAGGAAAAACATGTCCTGTTGTTTAAAATGTTACTTTGCATCATGCATATGTTGCACATTCTGTTTTGTGTAGGTCTTTCCTGAAATCTTGTGTTTAGCATTTTAGCGTGTTAAGACAACTATTTAAAAAAGTACAGTCCGGTTTAAACTGACACATTTCTGCTAAAACAAATATAAAAGTGAATCTTTTTGTTCTCATTCCCTGACAGCCAAACAGTGAAGAAGTCCCTCTGAAAGAGTTTCGGATTCCGTCCAAGGAGAGCTGCATGCAGTCTGAGACGGAGGCTCTGATAGAACAGGACCTGGACCCCCCTTCTCCTGCAGCCCAGTCCTCCACCCAGCGGCGCTCCCTGCTGACAGACCGGCTGGACCCTGGCATGGCTTTTGCCAGGGGGACATTACCTCGGAGCTGTTCTCGGGACAGCGTCCGCAGCCTCCGACGAGCCTCATCGCTGGACGACATAGATGGCATGAGGGCTGAATGGAACAGTCGACCTGGAGACCCCCGAAGCAACAGCAGTGAGTGTCTGACTGGTGCGGTGTGAGTAGGAAGTGGTTTAACTATAATATCACAGTAGGTTGTAACTGTTGCTTTTGTCTGAGAGAAACACTAAAATATCTTCACAACACGCATTTCATCATATCTGTAAAATATAATGAATATTTTATTTTAGCCAGTTAAACATCTGAGAGGATATAATACTGTCAATCTAAATCAGATTACATGACCTGTAACGGTCAGATTTAAACAGGGGTGTGTAGCAATGGCGTGCATCGGTGGGGGTGCTGGCCTGCTAGCAGGGGGACAAGTGCAGGGCAGATGTGAACTGGAAGTCATGGAGAAGGGGGTGGATGTGGGAGAGGGGTCAGGGGATCTTACTGGGAGCACAGAAGAGGTGGGCTACAGCAGGGATGACAGTGTTTAGGGGGGTCAAAAGAACGATCAAATCTATTGAAAAACAGATTGAGATCGTTCACCCACTTCTGGTCCCCTCCAGCCTGGGAGTCAGACTTCTTGTGGCCAGAGATGGTTTTGCTGCAGCTGTCCCTCCATCCTCCTCCTGTAGCAGGCCTTCCCCTCCCAGATCTTCTCCCTCATCTTCCTCTGCACAGCTCTCAGCTCCTTGTCTTCTGATCTAAAGGCCCTCTTTTTCTCCTTTAGGAGAGCCTTTATATCAGGGTTAATCCATGGTTTGATGTTGGTGAAGCATCAAACAGTCCTGGTGGGCACAGTAGTCTGTTATCCAGTGTGTGAGACAGTCAAAGATGAACCAGGTTATGATCTGATCTTCCCATGGGAAGGAAGGGTGATGAGTAATAAGCCTCCTTGGTGTTGTCATAAAACAGGTCCAGTATTTTATTCTCTCTGGTGTGGCAGGCTACATACTAGATGAAGGTGGGTAGGGTGGAGGATGGAGAAGTATGGTTAAAGTCTCCAGAGATGATAAGCCTGTGGGTGCTGCGTCTGCAGCCTTCTCACAGCTGAGTGCAGGACATCACATGCAGCATCAGCATTAGCAGAGGGGGCAATATACACATCTACCTTCATAACATGTAAGAATTCTCTTGGCAGATAGCACGGCCTCATGCTGACAGCTAACAGCTCGATATCCTTACAGCAAACTTGTTCCTTAATAGTGATGTGTGCAGAGTTACATCACCATAAGTCACTGAGAGAATCTTGACTTTTCTGTCAGGCAACAAAATACAGACAGAGAGACAGATCACAGAATTGTGTGCGTGTGCAAAGGTTTGTGGTGCATTTGTGCTGCACATCTGGCCCCATGGTTTCTCATGGGAAATATTTAATAGAGAAGCAAAATTGTTTTTGCAGGATACAGGTTCCACTTTCACTCTGTCACATTTCATTTGTTCGCCTGTGATGCTGAGGAGACACGTAGCCTGTCTTCATTCCCCTGTTGAATACAAGACATGTTTATATAAAATGTGTCAGCGTTTTTATTGTCTAATATTTTAACTGAGGCATTTATGTACATATATGTATGTGCCTATTTTAAACACATATTTACACACTATTATATGCACTGACTTGGAGTTGCTTGAAGTCGGAGATCATATTATTGTTATAATTCATTATCAGATGTTTTTTTAAATTGTGTTCTTGTTGCTTTTTTCAAACCACATCTTCCTCTTGATTGCTGGTATTGCCCTTCTTTGTTGTAGATCTGAAGCCCAGCGCTATGAACTCTACGTCAGACTCAGACCTGATGAGACATAGGACCATTGGTCGCATCCCTCAGGTTACCCTCACCTTCGACCGGATGAGGCCTCCTTCTCCCACCGAGATCGAGATCATTGCGCCGAGTAAGATTAAAGACCGAACCCAGAACGTTACTGAGAAGGTCACTCAGGTCACACAGGTGAGACGAGCTTTTTATCATCTCAGTGAACAAACAGAGATAAAGAATCCCTTCTTTCTTCTTCACTCTTGCTCCATCGTTCTGTGGTTGCAGCTGCTGGGGTCCTGAATTTGACATTTCCTATTGTGAATTTGACTTGGTTGCTTATCACTTTTTCTGTTTAAACATTTAACACAGTAAAGCCCCTGAATTGCCATCTTAGCTTTTGAAAATGGAATTGTGGGCTTGGCTGAATGAAGCACCGAAGTTCAATATTTTTCTCATCCTTACGCTTGATTAAAATTTAACAATGGATGTGCCTGGACCTACAGAGTAAACACTGGAAAGAAGTCATTTGAAACCAAATTAAAATACAAAACTTATTCATTTTTAAGAGTCTTCTAGAATGGTATCAACACCGGTTTTTCTTAAACATGCCTGAAATTATTTAAGAAATGTGCTGATTTTTATTTAGCTTTTTTTAAAGATGATGTAATTTAGGGCCTTTTTGTGCAATGTGGGATTAATCTTTTTGGATAACTCAAGAGGTTATGATAGCAAAGTGTTCATGGTTTTGTCTGATGGCTGTTTCTGGCTGCTCCTCAAAGTGGAATTTGTCATGTTGACAACTGGGAAAGGAAACAACATTGTGTTCTTGAATTGTCTTGTTGTCCAGATGAGTTCAGATGGTATGGCCATTATTGCAGTTGATTTCTCGGCGCTGTTACGTCCAGTCACTGTCTCTGCATATACTGTACGTAGATAGCTCAAAATAATGTCAATAAATGGTATTTGCTTCTGGCTCATTTGATAATGTTACAAGACATCTGCAGTCACAGGGTGAAAGTGTGAAAGAATAATCTCACCTGAGGTGTGACATCTATGGCAACAGCAACAGGAACACACACTCATCAGCTACCTGTCAACACACCGCAGTGCCTCTGTGCATGTTTTGGCACACCATTCTCTCACGCACAACAGTGGAAGGAAAGCAACAGTGGAAAATGTTATAATACAAGTCTCTTTTTTCCTCTTAAGAGCTGACTTTAGCAAAGTAATAGCAGTGATAGCACTCAATACTAATTATAATCACATTTTTCAGAAAATCCAAATGCAATAATGAAGAATAGTTTTTTCCTGGTTTCAGATCAGTTGAAGTAGTGCGTGCTCCTCTACACTATGAAAGAATTCTTGAAAAACACTTTTGTTAATATCTAATGCCAGTGGTTTTCTGAGGTAAGGTGATTTTGGACTTTTATATACTGCTATAGTGTACCAATATATTATAATAGTAAATACTTTAGTCAAAAATGACATCCGTACAACACACACAAACCCTTGGAACCAGAATGTCGTGGCATGGCCTGCTTGGTCCACGACAATAAAGCTGGCGGTTGGACAATGTGAGGCTGTCTCTGTGCATCATGTTAACCCACTGGGGCTTCCACACAGGTCAGCTGATTCTCTTTCCAACCAGTTTGAGCCAAATAGGCTGTATGTTTGTCTGAATAATCTGAAAGTCTGAGCTGATTAAAGCCTTTCAAACTTGAGACATGGACTGAATTAAAAAGGTTGTACTCAGCAAAGTGATTCAGATGAAATCCCAAATACAATCAGTGGCTTCGGTGTCGGTGGCAGTATGAATTCTCTGAGTGCTTCCTTGTTCCTTGGGATCTAAATTTGCATGCTATTTGCACAGTCCTACTATCTAATGTGACTGCTGTGTGACTGAATACTGCTGCCTCGGTGATGGTGAGATCTCACTTCCTCACACTGGGAGGTGGAGTGCTATCGACAACTGGCCATGACTCACTGTTCGGTGTGGAAGCAACATGGCTTGTGTGGCCCTGGAAAAGCTAGCTGGACAAACAGAAGGCTCTCTGAAGGGCCTGGCAGAAATCTTATCCTTTCATCTTAACCCTGCTGACGTCATGTATGAGTGTGGATAGAATGTGAATGTTCCTCTGTGTTAGCGTTGCAGCGGAGTGTTCGTCTGCTGCTCAGTGTGTTGCTTTTTGTTATGTTTCTGTTGGACGGTGGAGTGCAGTTATTACAGCTATCTGTCTCTGGTATGTTCCCTGTTGACAGACCACACACGACCTTAATGGGGTTTTTGCCATAGTAGATTTGGTCCAGTACTGAGTCTTTAAATCTTTTTGCCTGTTTCTGGTGCTGAGGCACTTTTTTATTAGGTGCTATACATATATCATGCAAACAAATGGTTTGTAACTCGTGATCCTCCCGGATATTATTTTGTGGTTGTTGAAATAGAACTGGGTAGGATAAAAATAACTGGATTTATCATGCTACATTTGTGGATAGTTTACCTTGTTTGATGGAAAAAACAATACTAGACAGACTATTCCTTTTTTATATGATTTCCTTGGTTTCTCAGTGGCTGAAATTTTAAATTCATCTCATATACGTCATATAAGACATTGAATACTCAGCTATTTGTGTCAGAAATATGTTCTCTGCAGAAAAGTTTCATTAGCTCATTAGAATTTCTTAAAATGAAATCTTCTTCTTCGTCACACAAAAAAAAAGCCAAATCCATGAATTTCCAAATATTGTCTAAGATTAACTAGTGGTCACAAGATGAATTTTCACTCTGGTCTCTGCCCAGTCTCATTTGAACATGTAGAGTAGCTACGTTGGTCCACGGTGTAAGACATAGTGTCACAATAACAGCTGTAAAATCGTGTCCTTCTTTGTGTTCTTCTTCTACAGTCTGTTTGAACTGCTACCTTCTGTCCGACGATACAGGGCAATCAAAACACGGACAAGTAGACTTAAAAACAGCTTTTATCTCAGAGCCATAGCCGCACTAAATACTTTCCACAACATGTCCACTGTGACGTGTTGATTCCTTGGAATCGTGCAACAGTCCCGCAGAAATGTAAAAATGTGTTGGTGTGTGTGTGTGTGTGTGTGTGTGTGTATTAGGATGTTTTTAGACAATCAGTATTTATATTTATTTATTTATTTATTTATACAGTTTTTTAGGTTTTTAAAACTATTGTAGCTCTTTTATAATTTATGCACAGGATTGCATCTTAAATGTTGTTGTACAATGTGCAGTACAATGACAAATACAGCTATTCTATTCTATTCTATTGGTGTGTTACGGCGGTTGGCAAACACCTGAGCTTCACACAGAAGCTACTCATTTGAGAATGTTTTAATCAAACCCAGGGTTTTTCCCTAACCTTAACCATGTAGTAGGTGTGCCTAAACTTACCCAGGAATGTCAGCTATTGTCTTTTGTGAGACTAGTACTTTTTTGCGTTGCAAACCACCATAGCTATTATACATTTCGCTGTGAGATCGGGTTGGTGCACTGGAGACTCACAGTTTCCACAGCACCTAAGTTGCATAATGGACCGTGACTGGCTCCAGATTAGTTGTGATGTCACAAAATCATCTCCTGAAAACATTTCTTAAACTTCGATGTAACATGAGCGGCTTCTGTTGTCAAACTCTGCAAATACATCGTTCTGCACAGTGCAGCTCTCCAAGTGAAGTAATAGTAAGCAAAGCACATTTTTAAGTGGAGGGGGTCTGTAAGCTTTTGTTGAGTTGGTTGTCTCTGTTTGTCCATGTGTACACATTCTTTTCATTGCAAACAAACAGGAAATAGAAACCCTTCTCCTCATTAACGTGGGCTAGTATTTTCAATGTTTAGACACATTGCTGCAGCAGTATTAATTTAGTTATTTAGAGAGAAGGTAACAAACCCAGGAATTGTTTTGAAACGTATATGTAAAATTTTATTGATATTTCAGTGTATTGAGGGTTTTTTATTTACAGCCTGTGGTATAACTGTATCTGTTGTATATAATGTCATTATATTGCAGATGGTAACTCAGCAGCATAGATGTGGGGGACTTTGCTGCTGAGTGTGTGAGGATGCATATGGAGACTGTGTGGGTGTGTGTGGGGATTACAGACTGTCTGTGGGAGTGGAGAGGGGTTCTGGTGAGATTAGGAAAGCAAGTAAAAAGGCTATTGAGCAGCACTTGTTGGCTTGATGCTGCCTGTGACCTTGGCCTCTGGAAGCTAATGGAAGTAGAGGGCAGTGGGCATGTTCTCTCTATGCCAGTTAAACCACCAGCTGCCCTCTAAATCCCACTGCAGTTAGTTTTGTCCTGTTTAAACAGTTTGAATTGACTTGCAGCGGTGTCACAGTCGTGTGGTCACAGATCAGGTCATTTTAAGTCACAGTAATCGGTGCTGCTGAACAAATTGTAGCAGAGGTCACTTACTACACCCAGCGCTTGTTTTCTGAAAGATTATCATTATTACTTGTAGCTGAACCTTGCTATCAGTTTATAATTGGATTTCGATTGGCATCTTACAAAAGGGAGATGAAGGTTCTCATTGATCTCTGTTTATATTGATTAGTCTGCATAACATGAAGCACACAGTGTGACTGACCAGAGTGTAGCTTGTAAAAGACAGTAACTGTACAAAAGCTCCAGCACATTCTAACTAGCAGCATGTCTGTGTGTGTGTGCACGTGTTATGGGAAAGCAGAATTGTGTTTATGGGGTGCCCCCTGGTGTTGAATGAGCTTGCGGCAGGAGATTGCAGAAATCTGGATGGACTATAGTTTGAACTGACAGGGATTTTTTTTTGTTTATTTTTGCAACTTAGCACTGTGATTTTGAACATGTGCACATGAGTTCTTGTGGAGCGATAGTGAGGATGGGACAAAAATAGTGGGACAGAAATACAACGATGTTATTATACTGCAGCTATTTGTCTAAAAAGTTGTATTTATTACAGATCCAGTTAAATCATTTTCCCCAAAATGTCTTGGCAGCAATGTAAAAAAAAACCTGAAATAAACCAATCCAGTGATTTAAAAAACTCAAAACCTACAGGTAAATACTCCAGTAATACAGCCATAGTTTGAACAAAGGGTATGAACTAAATATTTAATGTCTCTGACACAGTATCTGTAATAACTGAATAATTTAGAGTACATGCAAAAATACAACTGTCTTTATTAGCATTTAAACAACAATTAACTGAGTCTGAGATTATAATGCAAATGTCACAAACACACAAACTTAATATACATGAGTATAGTGTATCTAGAAATGAGTATTTGCATAGTTATTCCATAACAAAATGACCAAAAATCAGAGTTTGAGTAACTTTCAGTCAACAGTGAGTCCTAAAGAAATGTTATGACATCATATCTCTACTAAAAACTTGTGTTAGAAGTCAAAATGACTTTTGTCACATTACAACAAGTGTTTGTTGCATTAAGAATGTCAAGCATTTGACTATTAATGGTTGTTGAGCTCCACTGGAGGAAGGGGAGGCTGTCATTCTTTGAGCTGCTGGAGATTTTTTTTTTTATGTTTGAAAGAGGATCCCACACTTAGGGCTGGGCCACAGGCGGACAGGATGAGCGAGAGAGGAATAGGAGGAGGAAGGGCGATCCAGACGGATGGACAGAGGCTGCTCCTTTCTCCATCTGTCTGTCTCTCTTTATCTTAGTCTTTTCTCACTGATTACCTTGTGAGACGCACCAGTATGAGCTACAAGCAGAAACTTCAGCCTGTGAGTACTTTTCCCTTACCGGGTCTCTGGTGCACTTCTTCAACTCTCCCCTTCTTTTCTCGGTCAGCTTCCTTGTTTGTTTGCCACTGTTGCCTATCCTGTTCTTCCTCCCCCTTCCTCTTGCCCCCATCCTGCTTCCTCACTATAGCTACACAGGTGAGTAACATCAGCTTTATCCAAATTGAGGTGATGTCACACAGGCCGCCGCAAACTTTGTGCACCGTATCTTCAGATGAATTTGGATTTGAGTTGCTCCTGCTTTAAGTTTACTGAAGGAGCTTTTAGGTACAGAATAGATGTTGTGCTTGTGTTTAGAGCAGAATATGAAAAGAAAAGAAAATGCACTGCTTAAGTTCATATTAACAAAAGTTCTTTATGGTTAGAAAAAAGCTCCAATAACTCAGTAAAATAAGTTATATGTGAAAGTTTGCACATTGCATGTTGACTTTATTCAAAAGTAAATAAAAGTAAAGCGTGTTTCTTTCATAGACAGTAAATTATAATCCACTATTCTTAAAATTGTTATTATTCAAGCTGTACTTATACTTTAATGCACAAGAAGTAGCATTTCTATATATAATTTATACTGGCACTCATTTTGCAGTTTAATTTTTACGTTTCCTTTGTGTTTATATTGTCATACCTCAGCTGCCTTTTTAATCTAACATTTATGAAAATGGCTCAACACTATATTAATTATATATTTGTGACAGAGGGCTGTTGCATTGGAACCAGACATTGCTCTCTGGTCATCATTATGAAACAGGCTGTGGACAGCTACTCTGCTCAGTTGCCGACGCACAAAGGAGGGCCACAGGTTGTCGTGTTAGAAGAATTCAGTAAATCTTATGTGGTTTCCCACTTTAACCCTGTTTCTAATTACTGTTAACTGTCTGTTAGTCATAACAACATTTATGGAGCAGAAGCCAACATCCCTTGTTCAATAAAGGCTGTTGTGGGCCGTAATGGAAAACTATATCTAACTTTGTTTTCCCCTCTGCTTCTTTCTTTCTTTCTTTTGTCACATGTGAGCTTTTTAAATGTTTTTAAATATAGTTCTTTGACTATTTCTGGCCAGTGGTATCATCCTGGCTGGGAAAGTGGAAGTGATGTCTTCATTGCTGAAGAACTATAGATGCCGTCATGGTAGACTGTATGAATTTAGAGGAGTGTTTGGCTCTAGAGCCAATACAGCTGCCCGTCACACAAGTCCAGCTTCTTTTTTCATGATGACTACAACCATAACTATAATGCAAATGAGGGTCTAACTTGGAGGGTTTATGAGAAGATGGAAGGATAGCAATGCACTGAGAGTATTTTTTTTTTACATGGGCTAGTCATATCAGCAGTGGGACTCTGTTTGAATAGAGTATTGTCACATCACCAGCCACACAGAGTCCTGAGCTTGCAGCTAACAAGAGTTGACTACAAACACTCCTCTGCATGGCATGCAATCGATACCAGCTCTTATTCTGGTCCACAATTGAATTGCATTAGTAGAAGGGATCACATAGTCTGGACAATCTGGAGGTCACATGGTGCAACAGAGCCAGGTGAGGCTGCAGTAGACTCTTTAAAAGAGCAGTTAGAGTTTTGAATTAATGAAGTGCCTGCAAGGAGAGGACAGAACTACACAGGGACTGCATTTGTGGGCTGTTTTTTTATAAGTCTGTGGTGTTTTTCTGCAAGAGAGTGATGCAGGAGAGGAGATGGCCATTGCACAACAGGTAGCTTGGGCTGTGAAGGGATTGGAGGAGTCCTCACCTCTGCTGCCATGGTCAACACCAGAATAAAAATGTGGACACGGAAGGTCTCATTGTCGTACTGGTCTGTGGAATCTTTTCTGACTCAGCCTCTGTTAGGGACTGGTAGCAACACTGGACGGAGGTGCTTTGCTTAACTATAGGCAGGAGCTGTTTCTGTTCTTTTTGCCTCACTAAAATATTTGCAATTTAAAATGACTGATTGTGGATATGTTGTCATTAGAGGGTTGTGACCTTTTTTCCCACCAGTTAACAGTTTTTTTGAAGAGATTGTTACTGAGCTGTAGGCACAGAATGAGTAAAGTCTATTTGGCTGGGATGTACAGTGTCAAAGTACAAGCTGTAATACATAACAAGCAGGCACTAATTTACACATTTTACTATTCAGATTAACAGCCATTTTAATCAGTGGGTTGGAGGATATTTGCTTTACTTCAAGTGGAGTGACATGTTTTGTTGAGGTTCTTTCTGCTTCCTATGTCCTTGTGAGAAAGGAGAACTGTGCATATGTCAGGCTTTACTTTCAAAGTTGTGATCTAGACCACCTAATCTAGTCTAAGACAACTGTAATTATAAATCAGCATTTGATGTTTTTTGCAGTTCAGAAGGTTTTAGATGTTTTTAAGCAGGCACAACAATTGTTACGTTTGCATTAATAATAAAGCAACATAACAAAAAGGACCCTGTACCTTTTTCGTCCCAAACCACTGCTTAGGCTGTTTTGTGTTTTGTATAGCAGACTACAACATATATTTTTATAAATATAAAATAACAAAAACATGCTCTTTTAAACCAGAAATACATATCTTCCTCATTATCAATGACTATATATTAAACAAGCACAGTCTAAGCTGTATATGCTTTTTAAACATAAAGTGGAAGTGGGGGGTGAAACACGGTGCACTGTATGAATATTAACCTCATCTGAATAATTAAGCCTGCTGAAAAATTTATTAAGCTCCTAAAAATCTGGCCACAGAAGCGATAGGTACTGATATTCAAATGATGATGATAATTAAATGCTATTGATCTACAGGTCAATTAATCAAATGCTCACACTTTTCTTGTTCAAGTGGTTAATGTTAGTTTTTACTAGGGAGCAAACACTGTGCATGTTCTGGACATAGCTAAGTGACTTGTTTTCAGTTCAGTCTTTATAAAGTGCACTCTGTGGTTATGGTTCCCACTGTCTTCTCCACCCTTTCCCTTTGTCCTCAGGTGTTGTCCCTTGGTGCTGATGTGCTGCCAGAGTACAAGCTCCAGGCCCCACGCATCCACAAATGCACCATCCTTCACTACAGCCCGTTCAAAGCAGTGTGGGACTGGGTCATCCTGCTGCTAGTCATCTACACTGCCATCTTCACACCATACTCAGCCGCCTTTCTTCTCAGCGAGGTGGAGGAGGAGCGGAGGCGAACCTGCGGCTACATCTGTAACCCGCTGAACGTGGTGGACCTGGTGGTGGACGTCATGTTCATTGTGGACATCCTCATCAACTTCAGGACCACCTACGTCAACCGCAACGACGAGGTGGTCAGTCATCCAGGTCGCATTGCGCAGCACTACTTCAAGGGCTGGTTCCTTATTGACATTGTGGCCGCCATCCCCTTCGATCTGCTCATATTCCGCTCGGGGTCAGATGAGGTGAGAAAGAACCCCAAACAGTGGATATCAGGGGCCTCACAACATCACCACATGCATTTTGCTTTTCCTGGCATTGTGTGGCAAAGCTCAAAAGACATCTTTCCTTTTAGATAAAAGATAAATGACAAAACCACTTTTTATGCAACTAAAAACAATCAATGAATGCGCTCTTGCATTTTAGAATCTCAGTAGGTCAAGCCAGTGAGCCAGCTAAATGGAATCCAGCCTTTCCCATTTATATTATTCCTGTGCCTTCTGACTTCATTGGCACAGATGAGACGGACCAGGCCTCTTACCCCTTCCATTCTTAGACTCATGGGATTTGTAGTTAGTGAATCCAAACAAAACAGTTCTGATTTTATTTTAGTAAAAATACCAAGATGCTTATGCCCTGGGTGTAATAGTTAAGACATGTACCATATATGCACATAGTACTCAGTCTTAATCCCATTTGGGACACTGACATATTTCTGTCCCACTGTTTTTGTCTCTATCTCCACTATCCCTGTCAAATAAAGGCAAAAATGACAAGGTGTTACATTTTGTGGTACACTAAAATTACAGTACAGTTGTAGTAGTATGAACACAAAACCCTAGAAATATGATGCAATTTTTCAGAAAGACAGAAAACAGGAAGTTTTTATGAAAAGGTTTCAGATGCTATTGGAGCAGAGGCTAGTTAGCTGGCTCATCCCTGAAACAGTGCTGCTGTGATGAGATGTCAGCCCCAAGTGGATGAACAAACCATTCGCGGAGTGTTCACAGGTCTTCTGAAGTGCAGACTGGAAACCCACGGCAGCTGTTCTGGAAATGTAAAATTTCCTCCTCCTAGAGTCGCCCAGAATTGGCCACTGAATAAACTGGAACACAGGTCACGCAGGTCACGAGTTCTGAGATACTGTACACACTGAATTAATTAGTTGTCTTAATTTCTAGCATTGTTCACTGATTGGTCCAACCTTCAGGTCCTGCGTTTGGCTGATTATGGGTGTTTCCCAAACTGAGCGTATAACATTTAGTTTATTGTTTTTAAGTGGGGGACTGAGTGCAATATATATTTTTAAGTTAGGTTTTTGTGATATCTGTATAATGTATGTACTGTACATTTGTTGCATGCTAGAAACATTCATTTAATACCCTTTTATCTGTAGCAAAAGAAAATCTGTTCTATTACTGACATTCACTGAAGTTAAGTCTACCTCCGTCCCCCAGCCTCAGACAACGACTCTGATGGGACTACTGAAGACAGCCAGGCTGCTGAGGTTGGTACGAGTGGCCAGGAAGTTGGACCGCTACTCAGAATATGGAGCTGCTGTTCTGTTTCTTCTCATGTGCACCTTTGCCCTCATCGCTCACTGGCTGGCCTGTATCTGGTATGCCATCGGTAACATGGAGCGCACCGGCTCCACCCTCATTGGAGGCATGAAGATCGGTTGGCTGGACAACCTGGCCGACCAGATCGGTAAATACTACAATGACAGTGATGCATCCTCGGGCCCCTCCATCAAGGACAAGTACGTTACAGCCCTGTACTTCACCTTCAGCAGCCTGACCAGTGTGGGGTTTGGGAATGTCTCACCCAACACCAACCCAGAGAAGATCTTCTCCATCTGTGTCATGCTGATTGGCTGTGAGTAGTGTGGGAGTGAGTCTGAAATCTGGAATCTTGTAGGGTGAACATTCTTTTGAACAAAGCAAATACCAGGTATAGTTTAAAGTAGATAGGTGCTTGTAAAAGAGAGAAAATCAGACTGGAAATCCTTTGTCACTCAGTTATAAATCCTGATCATGATGGTTTTGAAACTGGAATAACTAATGACCAGAATGCAGTAATATTGATCCATTAGTTTTTTAAATTGCATACATGCATCACCCAAATTTGAAGTTATGCATTTCTCCCAACATATAGCATTTTAAATGTGTTTTGTGGCATTTTTGCCTTTACAGAAACATGGTAGACATGCAATAAAGGTCCCTGGAAACAAATCCAGACACATTCAAATCATTTGGTATGAACCGTCTGGCTCCCAGGACTACCCTGACAAATAGTCTCTCTGTCCTCTGCCCTGTGCAGCTCTGATGTACGCCAGTATCTTTGGGAACGTGTCTGCCATCATTCAGAGATTGTACTCTGGCACGGCTCGCTACCACACCCAGATGCTGCGGGTCAAAGAGTTCATACGTTTCCACCAGATCCCAGGAGGCCTGAAACAGAGGCTGGAAGAGTATTTTCAACATGCCTGGTCCTACACTAACGGCATCGACATGAATGCTGTGAGTCATGTCTGCCACTGGTTCACAGGAGGCAAGAGCTCAGTGTTTGTGTTGTGGTTAATGGCTGGAAAGATGTTTTTGAGAGGGGGCAACAGATGTTTAGACATTGTGTTATATAGTTTTTTGTCATTGGCAAAGTAGTTGCAAAAAAAAAAAATTGCAAAACATTGCAAACATCTACTTATTTGTGTATTTTTCAACATACAGTATGTATGAATTTATAATAGAAACTAAATTGAAGACAAATAAGTGAAAACCACAAATAAAATCAGGATAAATCATAAAATGGTGTTTTAAGAAAGCATTTTTATTCCACACAACTCTGTAGTTTAAATGTCTGTTTTATTTTCCATTTTGGATAACTTGGTTTTAAAGCTATAGGACAAATTAGGTGCACAATAAAGAAGAAAAAGCATTAGAGAATTATTAAGGTGAATTTAAATTCACCTTGTGCCCTGTGTTGCCTTGCAGGTTTTAAAGGGTTTCCCTGAGTGTCTGCAAGCTGACATCTGCCTCCATTTGAACCGCAGCTTACTGCAGAACTGCAAAGCCTTTCAAGGTGCCAACAAAGGTTGCCTGCGGGCTCTGGCCATACGATTCAAGACCACCCACGCTCCGCCGGGTGACACTCTGGTCCACAGTGGGGACATTCTCACTGCTCTCTACTTTATTTCCAGAGGCTCTATAGAGATCCTCAGGGATGACGTGGTGGTGGCCATACTGGGTGAGCTACATGCCACAATGGAGGCCATGCTTACTTTGTCCTTTGTTCCACTGCAAATTAGTGATTGTATTCATTATCAATTACAAGTATTTGATTAATCAGCATGTTGTTTATTGAAAAAAAATCAATAATAATGACTAACACCTATTGTAAATCACCATGATGAATTTTACACTGAAGAAAAGAAGGTGAATCATTAAAAGTTTGCTATTTATCAAAGTCTGCTATATTCTTGGTTAAATGGTTACAATTAACACAGAATTAAAACTGATAAATCTTTTAACTATAACTTGTAACCTTCTTTATCAGGTGGTTCTGCTGTCCTCTTGTCTCATTCCCACAAAGCCAAAGTCACAACTCACACTGCCCTTTATACCACATAGCACACACAAACCACTCTGTGTGTTGTGTTGCCAGAGGTGTTTGGGCACAGCTCCACTTCCATTCCACAGTGGCATTGATCATCAACAGGGCCAGCACTTAGATCCAGGCTGCATAGGTCATTTCTTTTTCAGCTGTGTTTGAGGGGGCCATTAATCTGTGCTGTTAAGGGCCAGTGTCATTGTAGGGCTTTGTTTTTCATTTGTTTAGGATCAGAATAATCCATCAAAATGTTATACAATTTTTTGCCATTGCATCTATTGATGAAGTTTTACCCTTGTCTTTTTGCTGTGGTTTCTTTAGGAAAGAACGACATCTTTGGTGAACCCATCAATCTGTATGGGAGACCAGGGAAATCCAGCGCTGAAGTCAGGGCTTTGACCTACTGTGACCTTCACAAGATCCTGAGGGATGACCTGTTGGAAGTGCTGGACATGTATCCTGACTTCTCTGGCATGTTCTGGAACAACCTGGAGATCACCTTCAGCCTGAGAGATGTGAGTACCACCAGAGGGCAATGTTACAAGCAAGTCTGTAGATTAAACAATTTCTAACATTATTCTAACAGTGACTGCCTTTTTTCACATTCTGCGTTTGCTCATCTCAAAGCCTAAGAAAACTTGTTTTAAGCAGGTTTTTTTCATTTCTGAATGTTATGATACGTCCCTTCTTTAAAGTCAAATTGATCCTAAAATCTAAATTTAAAAAAATGCTTAACATACCTGCCATGTCTGGACCTACTGTTGTGTGGTGGTTGTGGGTTTTTCAGCTTCTTTAGAACCTCACAAAATATAAGCATTTCTTTCTAAACTATGAAGATTTTAAAGGATAAGTATAGGAATAATCCATACTTTTCTTTCTGTCAACTAATTATACTTTACTAGGGCAAATGCAGATTCAATCATTACTGAAGTCATTATAATGAAAGCCAGTATTTTGTCCTGTCTAAGTGACATTTGTAGAAATTCTTTATGAAAGAAGACCAGGTGCAGGGTTCCCTACTAACAGTAGCCTCAAACTAAACTTTATAGATTTAATGGTGCACGTCAGTCCAAGAATGATTATTTCCTTTAAGATTAAAATCAGGTGTGTATTTTTGAATTACTGAAGCTGATATGTATCAGGCAGATAGAATAAACCAGCCAACCTCGAGCAGGGACTCTGAATGCAGCTACCACCGGGTGAGGCATCAGAGAAGCTCTCTGCGGCGTCGAAACCGCCCAGGTGAGTAGCTTAATACATTCCCTAATGTTTCTGTTAGATGTCTAATCTCCAAAATCCTTTCCTAACTGTCCTGTGACTGCCGGTACAGATGGGACGGACCATGAGGACTCTTATCCCGATCAGTCCTGTCAGATGGTGAAAAACAGAGGCAAGATCACAGGGTCCCATTGGGAAGACCTCTGCAGCAGTGCTAGCATCTGTTCGCAGTCTAGTGATGAGGAGATGAAGCCCGTGGGCCACAGCAAGGGGGAGTTGTACGTCCCCAGGGGTGACACCAAAGACTACACCCCTGCAGTGGTCAATATACTGCCTCACAGTGGAACATCAGCTGGGATGGGCTCACCTGTAGACTTTGGAGGTCTGCCATACTCAGGTAAGACTCCATGCATCTCTTCCCTAGGAGCTGTTTTTATTTCCTCTTCTCTACCAGTGACAACAATTGCCACCTTCTCTCTCCAGAAGTGTTAGGGACATATCTTTTATGAGATTAGACAAAACTTAAAGTGCCTATGGCTGCTCATTTCCAGCCATTTAATGTTTAATCTTGGGCACCTATAAATTAGCTTTGCACCCATCATAACTCAGAATAGTCTGCAATTATTTCAGAACGATAAAACCAGAGAGCCTCTGCCTAAAAACGAGAGGATAGTTCGTGAACACGCACAACTCCTACTGTCTGTGTTGTGTTGAAAGTGGACAGCACAACGAACCACAGCCGCATTAATTAATTTGAAATTCTCCTTCATAGACATCACTCCCTTTCAAGTAGCTCCAAGGTCAGTAAATCCAACTGGTGGTCGCTGCATCTTCCCCCACACGACCACATACAGTCCCAAAGTAGTGAAACTAATTCCAACAGGTAGCGTAGCTCTGACAATAACATCATGGATCGTTAATCCCCTCAGAGGTAAATATAGCCACAAAACCGTACAGTCTCAAAATTTCGCTTTTACAGTGGCACTGGTAGATGTCAGGCAAGCTCACATGAAATGCCAAGGAAATCCTTAAACTATCACTTAATACTTTATTTTATTAGAAAATAGTCACAAGCAAGAGTTTGCAAGATGTGTATAAACCAAGTTGCTTTTGCATAGAAGTACTGGAACATACATGCACTTCATTTTTTGAGCTTTAGGTCATGTCTAAGATGAGAATTCACCGTTGTAACATTGTAGATAAGTCAGAAAACAAGGAAAAGTATGCCTTGGGCCCTTTAATGTACTCCCAAACTTTGACTGAAAACCTGGGGCCCTTCTTTTTAGTTCAATTCAGTTTTATTTCAGTATAGCACTATCACAACAACAATCATGTCAAGGCACTTTACATACTAGATCTTACAGCAGTATCAGGAAAACCCAACAAAGTCCCCTTGAGCCAAACACTTGGCCAAGGTGGAGAAGAAAAACTCCCTTTAACAGAAAAAAGCTCTGATAGACCTGGGCTTTGGGTGGGCAACCTTCTGTCTTGACTGGTTTGGATGAGTGGTTAAAGGAGAAAGAAAAGAAAAGCATCAGGACACAACAAACACACACTGGGCAAGTTGATGTGACTGATGACTCCTCATCAGAAACATAGAGCTTCCGGAGCTAGGACTACCTGAGAGAGATAACACAAAACTTTGACTGAAAACCTGGGGCCCTTCTTTTTAGTTCAATTCAGTTTTATTTCAGTATAGCACTATCACAACAACAATCATGTCAAGGCACTTTACATACTAGATCTTACAGCAGTATCAGGAAAACCCAACAAAGTCCCCTTGAGCCAAACACTTGGCCAAGGTGGAGAAGAAAAACTCCAAGACCAAGTTTAAATTATTGTTATAAAGCAAATAAAAAATTAAATGAAGCTTAAAATTGATCTAATCTGAAAATTAAACCGAAATAAGTTATTATTTTGCAACAGCTACCAGAGAGGTAGTCTCTTTGATAGCTGTTGCAATAATAATGATATAATAATGTATATTTTAATTCTGAAGTGGCTGCAAGTATAAATAATAGAAAATATAAATTATGAATAGGACCTAACACTTAAGGATTTACTGTTTGAGTTACAAGGTACTTTTCTGTCATTCTACATTTAAATATTCTATGTCTACCAGTAAAACTAGAGCTGAAACTAAGAAAACAACATTAAAAGCAATAAAAGGAAAAGTGGAAATAAGGGAATGTCACTGGAAAGTTATATAAAGAAAATTAGAAACTAACTAGAAAAAAAACTGACTGGTCCTGTCTAGTATTGTGGGTTTTTCTGGAATTGCTGAAATTTTAATGAGGAGCATTCTTTACCTGCACAGCAGCAGCCCCTATCAGCATGTCAGGTTTGTACAACTACTGGCCAGACCGCAGAGCCAGCCAGTTCTCAGAAAGCCAGCGACGAACATCGTCAGTCAGTGCTGGTTTCCACCCTCCACGCTTCACTGAGGACCGGCCCAGTGAGCTGGAATCCAGATTGGAGCTGCTGCAGTCCCAGTTAAACCGGTGAGTGGAATTTATGTTTGGAGTTGTAAAGATTAAAGAAAACAAGGGGGCACCCGGATTTGAACCGGGGACCTCTTGATCTGCAGTCAAATGCTCTACCACTGAGCTATACCCCCTGCTGCTGTACTATACTTAAGGTAGTCTATTTCATTATGGCAGCATAACCTGTGTATCTTCAGGTTGTATGGCTTTTTCTGAAATCTATTCTCTGTCTGTCTTACTGACTTTGCCTTTGAGTGTCCAGCATGGTGCTTATATATTGTGAATTGCGTGAATTACAAATTTATTATAGAAAAGGAGGAGGAGCAGGGGGAAACAAAGAAAAATAATAAGGGCTCAAAGACATCACAGAAACATGTCAAATGTAGAAAAATGCCCCGTTATTCAGTCATATGTGCTTCCTCTTTACTACCGGTTTGCTCACATGACTGAAGGAGGGGCTAAGAGAGACCCCTAGTGGACAGTATTGAAAGAGCAGATGAGAGGACTTCTAGGAAACATTATGCTCCATCCAGCATCAAAATAACTTCAATAGAACTTTGTCTCCCTTCCTCCTTGCTAGGCTGGAGACCCGTATGGCAGCAGATATGAATGTGATCCTGCAGCTCCTCCAGAGGCAGATGGCCCCGGTGCCGCCAGCCTACAGCGCTGTGTCCCCCAGCGCTCATCCACCTCATCCCACCACCCTGTACAGCACAGGAGCACCCACACTCCACACTGTCCTGCCAATCCAGCCAGTACAGATCAACAGCACTGCCTCACTGCTACAGGTACTGAGTTTATAGACACACACACACATCGTTGTCACGTTTCTTGCTGTGTGATCTTCCCCTGTCAAACCCTTATAGAACTAACTGCCATAACATTCAGTGATTTTAACTTATTTTGACTTGCTGTCAAGCCTTGAATCCACAATAATGATCATTATTAGTAATCTGCATCCATTTTGATCATCACTTAATTGTATTTTTATTCCTGACAAAATGCCCGCAACATTCACTGGTGCCGCTTATCAGATGAATCTTTCAGACGTTTGAAAAACCCTCTAATTTCTGTCATATTATTGATGTGTCACTGAACGCATTATTCATACATTATTAGACTTTTTTCACTGATTAAACAAACAAGATACAACACGCTGGTGCTGGTTTCCAGATTTTGTTTCCTTCAGACAGAGCGATATTAGGCCATAAGCATCGTTAGACCCCTTTTACTGGGACACGTGCCCCAGTATTGATCTGCTGTGCACCAGTAAAATCATATGTTTGAGTTTGAACAAGCTCCTATGCTTGACATTGGATTTATTTACAGGGAAATAAGTGATTTGTTCTAATCCAAAATGTCAAAGCAAAATACAAGGTCAGGGTTCATACACCACGGTGCGCACATATGCACATCGTAGCTGGTGCACTGCAGCATGCATGCAGCAGTCCATTATTGGCATGCAAAACAAATGAGAGGAACTGACTGTATGTGATGGAGATTAAGTTAAGTTTTTCAATAATAACAATGATCTCAAGCATTACTGACTTTTGTAGATGGACATAAGAATGTTCTTTAGAGGAGGCTGAGACAGGGAAGAAGGTCAGAGAGATCAGGGTGAGAAGTGAGACCTGGCTGTAGTTGGTAAACAAGGTAACATTAGTCTAGTTAGCTAGTACATAACCAGACTCAGATGTTGAATGTGAAGTAAATTACAGCTCTGTACATCAGTGCATATTAGTTGGACTCCTCCTAAAACACTATTTATCCGTGTACTCCATGAAATAAAATGAATGTCAAGTATGTTGCATAACACATTGCATATAGTGGCAAAGCAAGGAAAGTTCACATAGCATAGTTGTGTGATTTGAGTAATGGGGGCTTGTGCCCCAGTAGAGCTTTATGTCTAGCAATGACCATTGGTTGGGTGTTACAACTTATTTCCAGTCTTTGTACAAAGCTAAGATAACTGGTCCTATATATAATAATACTAAAATGGTGTCTTATTCCTTTGAACACTGAGGTCAAAGGAGTGGTTCCAACATCAGACTCATCCTGTCTGATTATTCCTTTTCTCTCATTGCAGAGTCCAATCTCTGACAAATCTAAAGACTCCCTGTCCACTGGGGTCCATCTTCCTGTGGCCTCCAATGACACTATGTCCATGTTGCCAGAGGCCGACCCACCTCATTTAGCCACTGTGAACCTCACTCCTTCTGCAATGTCAGGGGTCCAAGAGCCTCCTGGACTGCTGTGTGGCAGCCAGCGCTTCCCCTCCCTGCCTGAGCACCTGGAGACCTCGCCAGAGACGCAAGAGATCCAGAGGCACGTCTCTGACCCTGTCCTGCCAGGCAGCTAGAACACTAACCATCATCACCACCCAAAAGCCTGGTCCTTTGGATGGGACAGCCATATTTTCTCCAGATTGTTATTCTTTCTTCCTCTCTTAAAATATCTGCTGTCCTGTTCAGATGCTGCTGAATAATGGGAACCCTTGCCTGCTGTCACTGAGTGTTCAGAGTGCCTCCTGTTTCTTACAGACTTCGCGCCCTCAGCATCCCTTCACTCCTGATGTCCTCTGCCCAGCTGGGAGGGGAAAATGGTGAAACATGAGCTGACAGGAAGCACACAAACTTATACATGCGTTGAGCAGGTGCTGGATCTGAAAGCTACACAAACTGTGGAGAATTCCTGGTGAAATGTCAAGAACTACTGATATGTTTCACGTGTGAAGAATTATCTGCATTACCTTTGTATAAGAATTGCACATTTAGAGTTTAGAAAACATTTATTCATTTATTTGGGACTGAAATTATTTTTGTAATATTAGAGATTTATTAGATACATACAGATATATATACATCAAATAAATGTCATGAGTGTAAAAAGTTATAGAGTCACAGTTGCTTTGGTTTATGTTGAAAAAAATATCAAAAGGCATACTGCAGGGCATGCTGTAAAGGATGGTTCAAGGTTCATGGCAGTGTTGGAAAATATATTACAAGTGTAATTTTCATCTAATATTTCATGTTCTGACATTCTGACCTGAATGAGCAGTTCTTAGTTAGGTGTGACATTTGAATACTTGGAGATATTACAATACACACAACAAGCAAAACAGAAAAACCTCATAGTTTCTTGTAGGCTCTTACTGTTTTGTTTTGATCATGACTGGTTGGCTTGGCTTCCCCGTTTCTGTATATGTATACTGTTCAACTTAAACATGCATTAGCTATTTTTGTGGCATGGTCACATAGTTTCATAATGTACCAAAGTGTATATCTGAAAGTGGCAACAACGGAAGAGTTGATCTCCTGGTCATCCTGAGTCATAGCAGGTAAACTGAAGGTTGGTAATCATCATTTCAGTGACAAGTGAAGTGGACGGTAACTCACACGGAGACGCAGTGATGCTGTCTCAAGGCGTCCTTTGTTAAGACAATTTCACAGCTCCAACCAAGAGTAATTACTGTAATGATTTTTAAGCATTTATAATTCTGTACATTTCTGGAAGCACAAATACCTGTTATTTATCTTTTTTTAGATTAAAGACACAAGACAGTTACACTGGAAATTGATTTTATTTCCTAAACGTTCACCCGATTCAACAATGATATACTTGCTGCAACACCAAATAAAATGTTCCACATGACGCAGAAGAAATATTCAGCTGAAACTGGACTACATGGAGACACTGAAGGATGTTGATGGCTAAATGAGGATACACTCAATGACAGTTATGCAGAGTAAGACCATGATTAGCTATGATGTGTCAAGCAGCCGCATTTAATGCAGGTAGAGGAATTAGTATTGATTCTCAACCGCAGCAAGCTACCACGCAAATTGCTGGCCTTTGGGAACAATTTGGGGTGGTGATACATTTACTGAAGTACTGTCCTTTTAAATACAGTTTTTAGGTACTTGCACTTTACCTGAGCATTTCTATTTTATGCTGGGTTATACTTATGCTTTGCTAAAATTCTAAGGAAAATTAAGATTTTACATTTAAACACAGGTTTACAATGCTGTGCATTGTTAAGTATGAAACAAGTGGTTCAAAATGTTTTAACTTGACTCTTTAGAAAAAAGTTGTGTATAGTTGAGATCCTGTTATTATTACTGAACTTCTCTAATGATTTCATTTAATTAACCATCCATAGCCACAACAGGTAAAATTATCCAGCATTCCACAAAAAGCAATTATTTTAGTATATTACAAAAATAAATACAAAGTTGTGTAGTAGAACTTTGTTTTTTCTTTATTCCTTTCCCATTAGTCATCAAAAAAACTTTCAGATTTACCTTCTGACACTCTGGAAGGGCCCAAGGCCTAGGCTGGGAACTACTGGACTAAACTACCTAACTATGTTGAACTGGCTCTATGTCCACCAGCTACAATCATAAAAAATAAGCACATTGAGCTGTTGACACATTTGTACTCAAACATGGTTTTAAATGTAGGATTTCTACTTATAGTAGTGTTTTTACATTTGGGTACTTAAAAAGAACAGACATTTTAGTATAATTAAAGTGAGAATATAACAGCGAAACACCACAAATGCAGAGGAAATTGTGTACTATTCAACTTAATGATGTAAAAAAAAATATAGAATTATCTTATTGTATATGGTAATGGTGGTTATAATAATAACAGCACCAACAACAATAATACAATTATTATTATGATAATTATTATACATTAAATGTATTACTCGTATTAGCCTACTATTGGGCACAGCTCAAACACCACTTTTGACATTTCTTTAAAAATAATTCTAGTTTTATGTTGAAAGGGATAAGCGGAAGTCGCTTGTAAGTTGTTGCACTTGACAGTTCTTTAGGTTGAAACGAGTAATGCCACTCTTTGTTGAGTAAAGTCGCGAGAAATCTTTCTTTGAAACACGATTTGCTTAATTAAATTATCGTTATCACAACGTCTGCTGATAATTGTTCATGCAAGTTAAAGTAAGTGAAAATCGTTTGCTCACAAGACTACTTACTTCGTAGTTAGCTAACGCTAGCGTGTTAGCTGCTTAGACAACAGCTGCAGTTGAGAGGATGTCGCTTCACGGCAAGAGAAAAGAAATCTACAAATACGAGGCGCCATGGACGGTGTATGCGATGAACTGGAGTGTCCGTCCTGACAAACGCTTTCGGCTGGCACTTGGGAGCTTTGTGGAGGAGTACAACAACAAGGTGTGCAGTGTGTGGATGCGACCGTTTATTAGCCGTGGCTAAAAACGGTAACCTTATTGAGCTAACGCTGATGCTAACGTTAGCGGTAGTTGTCCTACGCAGCAACGAGGCATAAAATCACAGCGTGTTTTGTTTTTATTCCCCAGTATGAGAAAAGTGCCAGGTATTTCTGTGTAAATATACAGCAGGTATCTGTGTTTTGTGTCTTTAAAAGTAATATTCCCCCGTAACACCATATATAGCGTTATGTATTGCAAACCTTGTTGTCTTGCAAAGTCGTTAGGCTCGTCTTGAAATAACAGGTAGTGTGCTCGCTCCTGACCTGCACAGGTTCAGCTGGTGGGCCTGGAAGAGGAGAGCTCAGAGTTTGTCTGCAGGAACACATTTGACCACCCTTACCCCACCACCAAGATCATGTGGATCCCAGACACCAAGGGGGTTTACCCGGACCTTCTGGCCACAAGCGGGGACTACCTGCGCATTTGGAGGGTAGGATATTTCCAATCCGCCCGGTTAAGTTTAAAGTTTTATAGCATTACATTAATAGACCAAAACGTACAGTTGTTTGATCCTGTGTTGCTTTGGGCAGTCAAAGCTGGATATATCCTTGGCCAGCTGTCTGCTGTGACATGGTTACAATGATTTCAGTACAGTGGTTTTATTAAAAAGTCTGCTGAATACCACATTCATTTTCATTTTCTTGCAGGTCAGTGACACAGAAACTCGTCTTGAATGCTTGCTGAATAACAATAAAAACTCTGACTTCTGTGCTCCCCTCACCTCCTTTGATTGGAATGAAGTTGATCCCAATCTGCTGGGTAGGAAATCCACTATATGATAAATCATAAGGAGGTTATACATTGGACTTTGTTGCACTTTCATTTGTATGGTTTAACTATCTTAACCAGTTTGTTCCTTTTGCAGGTACTTCCAGCATTGACACCACGTGCACTATCTGGGGGTTGGAGACTGGTCAGGTGTTGGGGCGAGTTAATCTGGTGTCTGGACATGTGAAAACCCAGCTGATTGCTCATGACAAAGAGGTGTGTGTGTCAGCATTGTAAAATAAAGATTTATGTACTTCTGTGCACAGCATAAGACAGTGTTTAAATTCATTTTGTTATGTCCTGTACAGGTGTATGACATTGCATTTAGTCGTGCCGGAGGTGGTAGAGATATGTTTGCCTCTGTGGGGGCGGATGGATCGGTCCGCATGTTTGACCTCCGTCATCTGGAGCACAGCACCATCATCTATGAAGACCCCCAGCACCACCCGCTGCTTCGTCTCTGCTGGAACAAGCAAGACCCCAACTATCTGGCTACAATGGCCATGGATGGCATGGAGGTCAGTTTGAAGTACAGCTTTTTTGTATTAAGACTGAAACACTGGTAAGCCATTGGAAGCTTGCAGCTCTATTTATCCCTAACAAAAACATTAATCACCTAAAACGCTATACAGTATCAGTAAACGTAAAAACTATGAAATGATTTCATTTTGTAACATGTTTATCTTTTTGTTTAATAATTCCTTTGTGAGTGTTTTACTCAGAAAATGCTATTGGGATGTTTCTTTTGTTTTTGTTAGTATGCTTCATTAAATGAATCTACACAAGTAGTTTCAGTAAAATCACACAGTCTTCTTCTATGTGATAGGTGGTCATTCTGGATGTACGGGTGCCTTGCACACCAGTGGCTCGGTTGAACAATCATCGCGCCTGTGTTAACGGCATCGCCTGGGCCCCCCACTCCTCATGTCACATCTGCACTGCAGGTAACCAGGTGTTCAGACCAAAACAGCTGTTACTTAAAATGACACAAAGGGTTGTCTTTTGGGTGGCACTGGTGAGATATGAGATATGATCTAGTACGTCTATCAGATTAATCTGTTTAAAGGCTGGAACAAATCATTCCACAGGGGTTTGTTATACTCACAGATTTTTCAGTTAAAGTTATCAGAGTGCTGACTTTTTCAGCTTTGAACTATACACGGTAGAAATATGTCATTCACATCGCAAAGATACTTCCTATAGCACCCACTCTGCTTGCCGCCTTCTCCCCAGCCGACGACCACCAGGCCCTGATCTGGGACATCCAGCAGATGCCACGTGCCATTGAGGATCCCATCCTAGCCTACACCGCTGAAGGGGAGATCAATAATGTGCAGTGGGCCTCCACGCAGCCAGACTGGATTGCCATCTGCTACAACAACTGCCTGGAGATCCTGCGTGTCTAAGACCACGGACACTTAGATGAAAAGGAGAAGGAATGCTGTTTCAGTTTTGGACTTAATTTTTCGCCCTCATCCCACTACTTTCAAGGTGACGATGAGGTCACAAGTGAACTTTCTGAATGTGTTTGAAGTATCACATACCTAACCCATAATAACCTCGTTTACATTTCTTACATGTCTTAACTCCATTGTTCTCCTATTAAACGTGTTTTAGCTCTTATTTATTTTGCTCCCAAGGTAGTGTTCAGCGTCTGCACAGCAGCTGTAAGAAGCAGTTGATTTCACCCACCTGATGAGATTATCATGAAGGGTTTAGATGTTGTGTGTGTTCTTTGTAAAGGTTGATGCAAATTACTGTAGGTGGCAAAAGGTGAGCTCTCTAATATGTAGGAATAGTTGTAGCCACCTTGTGAATCATCCCATATTATTGGTGATTTGAAAGATCAGTAAGTCTTCTTTACCCCTGTGGTAGTTTCAATTTCTCAAATGGGTGTGTGTCCAGTATCCTCTCTCCAAATGATTGTATACAGGCTCAAACATGTGACCTGTGCAACTTTTAAAAATTGTAAAATAACCTGAGAGGGCTTCATGTTGTCACTGCTGTGGTGTCTGCCATCATATGGTGTGTTTTGGTTTGTACTGATGATGTAGAGTGACACTCAGAACCTACCAAAGCAATGTTCAGCTTCCTAACTCCCTAATTATTCTCTTCATTTCATTTAGTAGAAGTTTGGGCTTTGAAATCTGCAGTTTTCTTGTGTTAGAGTGAATTGTGGAATGAGAGGAGAGTGAAACAACTTTCTGACTGTGTCCCTGTCTCTCCTTGTTTTCAGTAATTAAAGGGTCATGTCCTTGTAGCATGCCATTACAAGGCAAAATGTACATAACATATAAATATATCAAGATGTTGGTAAGCCAAGTGTTCATGTTGTAGCTTTTTTCATAAAGTTTATTATTGAATTTGCTCTAATAAATTGTATTCCTCCATGTCCTAGGTACAAACTGGAGTGTGTTGTTTAATTTAGTTATTTCAGAATTCATGCTTTCTCTTTTTATAATCAGGAGGGAGGGGGCAGTACTATTGGTTTTTCATGGCTGAAAGTTTAAAAAAGTACAACATCAGGGAGTACTAAGAGTTGTACTATTTGATCTATAGTCAAATGTTCTTAGATTGAACCTTACACACTGTCCATTTAAGTGTTGATTTTCATTTCACTGCGATCTGTAAGCTCCTCCCTCTATCATTGTGTTTGTATATCAGTTCCCAGCTGCTGCTGTGAGGTATGTAATAGTAGAGACAGAAAGGCAAGGTTTGATTTCTCAGATTTAACAGGTGGGTGTTCCTAGAGTTTCATCTCCAGGTAGCTGTTCTGCTCAACTGTCTCTGTTTAGTCACAACTATTACATAGTGGTGGCTTCTAGTAATGCAGGAGGTACCTTGATCCTTTACTTAAAAAACATTTAGAATATTATGATTCGATTAGGACGGTTTACGCCACTCCACGATGGTATTTGTAATATTTGCAACGCTGTTCGTGAAATGTTAGTGGTAGTTACGTGCTGTGACCACTGGAGGGCATTGCAGACTCAGCCATAACACCTATTCATGCAACTAACGTCAAGGCAGACGTAGTAGCATAGAAATATCTTCGGTAAAACATAAAAAATAAAACTTTAAAATTAAAATAAGCACGTGAACACTAGCGACACTGCGGTCATGTGATTTCTGTTTTGTTGAAGGGAATCGATACCGTTTTCTGATACCTTCTGTCGCGATACTTTTACTTTGAAAGGTTGTTTCGAGTGGTTTTCAGCTTAACATCCATTCAAGAGCAATTCAGGCTACAAGAACTCAAACAGGGTTACTTCTGTTGTCATGGCAGTTCCTCAAGTAAGCTGATTATGCGTTTTGTTCAGTAGTTTGGGTTTTAAGGTTAATTTATTTCAACTATTAGAGTTGTGCTTAAAAATAAAACATTTATTTCTTTTTCTGTTAAGGATCGTAGGTAGGCTTGGTTGCTAGCAACACGGTGTCACGCTAGTTAGCTCTCGTTAGCATGCTAATACGAGATTTTTTAAATAGCTAATAATAAAGTGAGAGAATGGATCAGGCACTGTGATATGATTATGGCTTGCGGTTTAATCCCAGAACATTAATGTTATAGCTGTTAGGCACAGTGTTATTTTGACTCAAGTGCCACTACGGAGTAAGACGTAACTCCTTATTTTAGCTTGTTAGCAAGCGAGTCGCAAAGGTCGAATCGTTGGCTACAGCTGACTTCAGTTGTGCTTGCGACAGCTTTTCTGATTTATTTACATGATTTAATCACATACGGTAACTTACAACCCTCTATATTCGCCTGAGCTTAGTTCGTGTGTTGCCCTAGTAGTGCCACATTGTGTCATGAACATTTTATGGTAATATATTGCAGAGTTATTTTCTAATTGTCTATGATGAAGTGGCAGCGCTGGAAACGGGTTGTCATGTTGACATAAAACAAGGTTAATATGTTTCCAAGTACTGGAACATTAGACTTCCGTTTCTTCCTCAGTCATTGTTTACTAGTTAGTCACTTTCCTTGGGGATCTTTTTCGCTTTGGGGTTTATCACGTGAATACACACTGTGAGCTGGAACTCGCTAGGTTATGGTAATACGGACCAGTTTAACCCAGGCTTTGTCACAGTTCAGCTGTTTTTGTCAGAGGCCCTCGTTTGTACTAAAGTGTTAAATATTTTATATAATGCCTTCAAGTGATAAATTATTATTACAGGTTGGACTTTGCTCTGTAATGCTTCCAGGCACGCTCAAGTCACTGTAATATTAAGGCAATCCTCCGGTCTCATTTAATAACAGCTAATACAAAAGCACCTAACGCTTGTATGTGGCAACACTAGTTTTCACATTTTTTAACTGATTTGACTTCCTGATTTTGGTGGAGTGAGTAAGACATCCTTCCTATTGTCTAATATTTGTATTAGGAAATTTAAATTAATGTATTTGATCTGTCACTTCTAAATGTTTACCTATTCGTGCAGGTCCCCAACATGGGTAGTAGGCATCTCCTCCTGATACCTACACTGCTGCTTCTCCTAGCCCTTCCTGTCTCCCAGGGGCGTTACACTGATGACTTTGATGATAGCGAGGACCTGGCAGACTTCGATGACAATGACTTTGCCGAGTTTGAGGACATGAACGACGACCAAGCAGCTGATGCAGAAACTGCCTCTCCGCCTCATGCCTCACAGTCCTCGCAGCCTGAGGAAGATGAAGACGAAGATGAAGCTACAGTTGAGCTGGAGGATAGCCAAGATGGTTTTGATGACACAGAGACGCAGGTACTTTGCCTTTTATTACTGCTTACAGCAAAGTTGTTAAGCACAGTTTTCTTAAAATGGTTATTCATTAAATATGGTATGTTAATCTATACAGAAACTGTATCAAAGTATGTCAATGTTATGTTTTCATAGGATCAAGACATATACAGCAAATATGACCAGGAGGAGTTTGAGGGGATTGGAGACATGGAGAAAACGGGCCACTCCATGAAGGACCCCCTCATAATTCACACGGTAAACCAGACTTTGCTGTTCAAGTCTTTTGGTGGCTTTCTACTGCCTGCAAGCCATATTCTCCGGTAAATGTAGTTTTTGTGGCATGTTTAGGGCATGCTGCACTATAAGGTTTAATCAGTATTATGGGTGTGTTGTCTCTCTAATCGAAATACTGCTGCAAGAGGTCATTGGCAAAATTAAAGCAAATGAAATGCACATTATTCAACTCTTTGTTGGTGCTGTTGAATTTTTTGGTTAAATAGGATTCACAAAGTTTACATAAACTGTTTGCCATGGAAGATCAACGTAGGCAATTGTGAAATTGCGGCCTTTGGCACCTGACTGCTTTTAGCATAAATGACCATGTCTTTTCAGTTACACTGGAACTGATGACTGCCTGTTGTTTCTCTTCAGGTTCCTGCACATCTGCAGAACAGCTGGGAGAGTTACTACATGGAGATCCTGATGGTGACCGGCCTGTTGGCCTACATCATGAACTATATCATTGGCAAGAACAAAAACAGCCGCCTTGCTCATGCTTGGTTCAACTCACACAGAGAACTTTTAGAGAGCAACTTTGCACTTGTAGGTGAGTTCTTCCACGTCTGTGCTGTCTGTCATAAATAACAACTGTGTATGAAATACAACTCATGCTTTTGCTGTTGTGGCAGTAGCTGAATGTATCAAATGGTTGCAGTCAGTATGAGGTTTGTCTTGTGTTCATTGCGAATAGTTTGTATGTTTAGGTGATGATGGCACCAGTAAAGAACCTGTGAGCACGGGGAAGCTGAATCAGGAAAACGAACATATATACAACCTGTGGTGCTCTGGACGCGTGTGCTGTGAAGGCATGCTGATCCAACTCAAGGTGTGTGTGTGCAGTGTGTTATGATACTGTGTGTGTGGTGTTGTCACTGTTTTGCATTGACTGTGCAATCATATACTGTGGTCTGTTCTAGTTTCTCAAGAGGCAGGACCTGCTTAACGTTCTGGCCAGGATGATGAGGCCTACCTGTGACCAAGTGGTATGTTCCAATCAAATAACAGTTTAAATCTGTTTCACCCAAGAAGCTGCCAGAAGGGCTTCTATGAAGTACTGAAGTATGGGTCTGAAAGCTTTTGTAAAAGAGAATTTAGTTTTTGGCTTTTAAAATATTTGGAAAACTTTTAAACATGTCAGTATGGGTTATTAAGTGTAGACCGATGGGCAAAATGTCAATTTAAAATGAATTCTATCACACTGAGTGTGCAAAAAGTGAAAATATTTTTTGGGGTTCTTGTAAATAATTTTGCAGTTATAGTCTTTATCTAAACTACAGCATCTGTCTGTTGGTTTGTAGCAAATCAAAGTGACTTTTAATGATGAGGACATGGACACTTTTGTGTTTGCTGTGGGGTCCAAGAAGGCCATGGCCAGGCTTCAGAAGGAGATGCAGGACTTGGTGAATATTTTCTACAGCTTTTGTTGTATTACCCACACATAATTTGAATTTTAATATCTCTCTCATTCTTTTACCTGGTGGTCATTAATGTTTAAACAGTGGCCTTGATTTTTTTTTTAAATCACAGAGTGAGTTCTGTGGCGACAAGCCAAAGTCTGGGGCCAAGTATGGGCTCCCAGACTCCTTGGCTATTCTGAGTGAGATGGGCGAGGTCACTGATGGAGTGATGGACAACAAGGTAAAGTCTGTTGTTTGTTTGTTTGTTTTTTAAGGCTTGCCTCGCATGCAGTATTATTTAAATGCCACTGCAGATTCTCTGAGTGTTAAGGAGGGTCTCTTGATTTGGTGTTAAACATCTTCCTCTTTTTAAATACTGCTCTCTTATTAAAACTGTAGCTTTGCATCCGTTTTGTTTTTAGATGGTACATTATATCACCAACCATGCTGACAAGATTGAGTCCATCCATTTTTCGGACCAATTTTCTGGTCCAAAAGTTATGCAAGAGTAAGCGATTATTTTATCTTTTTGTCTTTTATGTGCAAATTATTTTGCATTTTCTTTTTTTCTTTGTGGCGCTAATAGTTCCTGTGTTGTCTTTCAGGGAGGGTCAGCCCTTAAAGCTGCCTGAGACCAAGAAGACTCTGCTGTTTACATTTAATGGTGAATACTTTGTCCTACTGTCTTTGAAAATCTATACCCCATAATTTGAGTTATACTGGCATGTTCTCAGAATCTGCTTTATTGGCCAGGTGTGTCGGACACACGAAGAATTTGACTCTGGTACATTGGCTCTCAATGTGTATGTACATATCCCCATGCAAGGGGCAAGCAAACAGTAAATCAACATAAGGCTGTGTAATATAACAAAATAAGCAGTATTTACAAGCAACAAACAGTGCAAACAATGCAAAATAGGCAATATAGACAGGCAGTAAACAATTCAGAGACAAAGGAATGCTCATTAAAATGAAATAAATAGGAATAAAAATAGAGTAGTTAAAAATAGAGACCTGTACGGATCTGTATAATCTGTACAATGTATATATCTATGATATGAAGTCCACTGTCATCTCCACTGTTTTGAGCATGTTCAGCTCCAGGTTGTTGCGGCTACACCACAGGACCAGCTGCTCAATCTCCCGTCTGTAGGCTGACTCTTCACCATCTCGGATGAGACCAATAACTGTTGTATCATCAGCAAACTGATGTTTTTGGTGTGTGTGTGTGTGTGTGTGTGTGTGTGTGTGTGTGTGTCTGTAGTGCCTGGCATGGGCAACACTTCTCCCAAAGACATGGACACTCTGCTTCCTCTCATGAACATGGTGATCTACAGCATTGATAAGGTCAAGAAACTTCGTCTCAACAGAGAGGTGAGCAGGATTCAAATGCTCTGGAGCTGCATAGTGTATCTCCAATGACCATCAGGAATTTGGGCCATTTTCATATTTTAGATTAAAGTTGAAGTGCAGCCGTGAGTCTCTTTATCTTTTGTGTATATTCAGGGAAAACAGAAAGCTGACAGAAACCGCGCCCGTGTGGAGGAGAACTTCCTGAAGCAGACTCACGCTCAGCGCCAGGAAGCAGCCCAGACTCGCCGAGAGGAGAAGAAGAGAGCAGAGAAGGAGAGGATCATGAATGAGGAGGACCCTGAGAGACAGCGTCGTCTGGAGGTCTGAAATAAGAAACTTTACAAACACCACACAGCAATACATTTAAAGGACTCGTTCAACTTTGTGGGAAGTATGCTGATTTGTTTTCCTGCTTGATAGTTAGATGAGATGATTGATACCACTCTCACAACTGTTACAATAAATGTGGATTTAAAGGCAGCAGCGAGTTAGCGAGTTGCCCAACGGTAGCAGTCCACATAGAATAATGTGTTATATTTAGTTAGTTTGACTTTGACCAATACCAAAGTGTAAATTGGCAATTTGCCATTTTATGGGGGTCTTAGGTGTCGGCTACATGCTTAAGGAATAATTTCTCAAACTTTTAATGAAAATCACACAGCTAAGCATAGAGATATCATGATCGCTATTAAGTTTCGTCTCTCAAATGTCTTTAATTTTCTCTTTTAGGAAGCAGCCCAGCGACGGGAGCAGAAGAAGATTGAGAAGAAGCAGATGAAGATGAAGCAGATCAAAGTGAAAGCCATGTGAAAGACCACCACAGGGACAGGGATAAAAGCACACATGAAAGCAGTGCTCAGCTCAGTTTTCTCCAGCTTCTCTGACCACAATCCACGGCTCCAGCTCACAGTCACTCCAGCATCAAACCAACATCCTCTGCCACTGGGTGTGTCAGGTTTAGCCGTTTGTGTAACCACCTGTTCCATTTAGTGCGGCTAAATCTTAAAGACTGAGTGAACCTCCTGTGTCAAACGAGAGGGACTTTCACCATAATTCACACCAAGATTTTTTTTTCTTTTTTTGCCAAATTATTCAAAACTCTGAAATCTCTGTTGCTCAGTGAGCTTTTTGAACTAAATCTACTGGGAAGGAACATTATTTGGTGGTACTGAGCCACATTTTAAAATAAATCTATAGTATTGTTGTGGTTTCATTGGAACTTTATTGGCATTAATATAATCTTAAATGATACAATCAAGAAAATTTTTATTTATATCTGCAATGATACTTTCAGGCTGTTGTTATCTGAGCAAACAATAAATGCACTGGAGTCTGTTGGAAAACTGTTTCTGTATTTGATAGTAAATGTGAAATAAGTGATTTGATTTACAAGACATTTAATGGGTGTGAAAATGTGACCTGTAGGTCATAAAACTGTAGTGTATGAAATAGAAACTGATACACAGACCTCTTGGTATCAGTAGTTGAGTCTATAACAGTCATCAGAATGGGTGAGGCTTGATGCTAAATTTAACTTGTAGATTGTGTCAGCAGTGTGTGAACTAGATTTGGTTACATCAGTATGGTAGTCTCTTCACAAGCCGATAAAGGTGTAATAACCCTGTACAACAACCAGAAGTTGGACATGATTCTCCTGGGGACACTCAATATGCAAATATTAATTGTTTTGTATGTATTTCCCAAAGTAGACAATTGATTGGTGCACAAGTAGAAATCATTTGTTCCATATTTTGACAGTTAAAGGGTTTCATTTCTGACATTTAATGTATTGGCTTCCTGATGAAACATTATAAAATTTTCTTGATTCCGCGCTACTTTACACATCTCACAAAGTGATAAGCATCTTAAGCAAGTAACTTTTATTTCTGGGCACACTCAGGTAAGTTCGGGGGGGTGTATGTGGTAATGCTGTGGTGAGATGTAAATACATTTACTTGATTACAGTAAGTACAATTTTGGTGTAGTTGTACTTTATTTACATTTTATGCTACTTTTATATTTTGATATCTGTAGTTACTTTACATACTGTATATAACAAGTAATAGGTTCATAACTGTTAACTTGAGATTAAACTATGTAACAGTAGGCTACTATATGTTTGCATTAGTAATATCAAGTCAAGATTTTTAATTTGCCATTTATGCATAAGCAGGCAGTCTGGGCATATAGGAATTCTTGTGCAGCTCTCCTTTGGAGTCAGGCTAGACAGAACACTTAGTCTTAAAATAAAGAAGTTACATAAACGCAACAAAGCATTAAAGTGCAATACACAAAAATAGGGTAATATTTTCCCCAGTGAACTTCAAACATCGCACTTAGTAATTCACATGGTGGAGTTGGATATGTCATTACGCTTGGTGAGGTAGTGAGGGGTTATAACATATTAACACACAGTTTATATTCAGGCCTGTTTCCATTGCTTGGTAGAGAATGTCCTGCTATTACTCAGGTCCCACAAGAGAACACTGTCGATCAAATACTTTGTGGGACATTTCTGTATTATTATTGCGCATGTCTAGTAAGGGGATATTGCACAAAAATGGGTAATAGTATTTTCCCAGTGAACTTCAAAACATCGCACTTAGTAATTCACATAGTGGAGTAAATATAGATATAATATAAACTGACAGGAGCCGTTTTGCTGCATAGTGACCACTTAAATTTGATACTTTATTTGTCAATAATGCTTATATATTTTTACTAGACAAAAGGTTTCAGTGCAGAACTTGAGAAAATTTTACATCGTGATACTGTTATTTACTTTGACTTGATAATGCATTGTCACTTATCAACCTATAGGGGGCGCTTTAAACGCTTTCTTTGGGTTGGGTTTGTATGAGCCGATTCAAACATTTTTCAATATAGAATTTAGGGTAAATAAAGCTTGGTCTTCTATTCGTTTAAGATAATAGTTACTTTTATTAAGCTTACAGTGTTTATCTCGACGTGGGCGTTCCCATATTTTTTATTTCTGTAACCGGTTTTGAGGAAAGTGCTGTTCGGAAATCGTTGGCAATATTCACATACACTGATGGAGAACAGGCGAGGCTTTCAGGTTGGTTACGCGATGGCCGCTCTCTCAATAATATAGGGATTTTGAGCGGAAAACAATGGCCTGGTCGCTCGGAGAGGGGTGTTGTTACATTGACTAACTACCGGAATGATAGCAGCACCATTTTAGCTCGCTAGTTTTACTTTAAAGCTTGGTCAGAGATGTTCCATTTCTGTTAGGGACCCAGTGTTTTTCTTGTTCGTCTCCCGGGCCTGGCCATAGCTGCCTACACTGTAGCGGCGGGTTGCTACTTTCGGATGAGCGGGCAGTCACTCTCAAAGAGGTGGGGTTTGAAATTAGGAGAACCGAAGGAAAAACAAGTCAGCAGAGCTTCGCAGAGAGGTGGATAACATGAATGTCAAATCTTAAATTTATTTCGATGTGGGTGGAGGGTCAACAAGATCAGAGTTTCACTTCATGTTCTTGCTAGTTAGCATTAGCCAACGGTAATGTTAACTTGCCGTAGCTACAGCGATATGGCATAAGTAATTTAACATCAGTTAACCTTATCTAACGCAAGACTTGTCGATAACACTGCTATACAGAGTAATTCCGAAACAAATCTAACACGGGTTTAACGTGAAAACTGTCTTGATTTTGGAAAGCGTTTTCTTTGCATTTTGTTGGCGTACGTTAGCCTCTGCTAACTGCAGGTTGCTAGCTGAACTAACTGGTCAGTGACGTAACGCTGGTCATTGTTTTGACAGCACGCAGCATCATAGCTGAGGCTGAAAACGTCCGGAATATTATCCTGTTTAATTTTTCCCCCCCGCTGTCTAACAGACACTGGTCAAAGTTCATATTATCTTAGAATATCCTCTGTTCCCCCCGCAACATTACTGATCTGTATTTTAATTGTTAAAGATGTGCTCCTCTAATGCGAGTTTTTTCTGCAGTCAGTATATGTTGTATCTTACCTCATTGTTTTCCTTTGGCTCTTAGTTGTAGGATGGATCCAGACAGTGGGGCAGAAACACAAAAAGCTGTCAGTTTGCAGTGGAAGAGCTACAAACTCGTCCAGGACCCAGCCATCAGGCGGGTCGCACAGAAAATTTACAGATATGATGGAGTGCATTTCAGTGTGCCAGTGAGTTGCGTTCCTATTTTTCCCTCTATAATGTGTGTGGGACTTGAGTTGTATATTTGAACTGTAAACTGTGTCATTTTTCTAGGACTCTGGTTTTCCTCCTGTGGGCGAACTGCGGGACCCTAGACCCCGGAGACTGTGGTCCAGGTATACAGAACTGTCCCTTCCAGTGCCAAAGTTTAAGGTGAAAATTTCAAGCATCACATTCATTTCACAGACCCTAGTAGCTTCATCACATGGAATGACTAGATCTTGTTCCCGATCCTGTATTTGTTATTACAGCTTGATGAGTTCTATGTGGGTCCCATACCACTCAAGGAGGTGACCTTTGCAAGACTCAATGACAACATCAAGGAGCCCTTCTTGGCAGAAATGTGTGCTAAGTTTGGTGAGGTGGAGGAGATGGAGATCCTGTTTCACCCCAAGACCAAGAAGCACTTGGGGCTGGCCAGAGTGTTGTTCACCAGCACCAGAGGAGCCAAGGACACAGTTAAACATCTGCACAACACTTCTGTCATGGGTAACATCATTCATGCTCAACTGGATATAAAAGGTAAGCTAATACACCTAATCTCTACCAGCACCATAATACACAAAGCAAAATATAATGCAGTGGGAATATGTTCCAACTTTTTATGTCCTATCTTTTTATTTATTGTTCAAGAAAACACTGTATTTTTTGAGAACATTATGATTTTTTTTTTATTTCTACCCTGCAATTCCTCTTTCTGTACCATTATCCAAATTAGCACCAAAAATAATTATTTTGTCCATTCTCCAACTCCCTAAAAAGTTTTAATTGAAAGCTGTTAAGTTTTTGAGTTGTCTTGCTTACTAACACAATGATAAGCAAATGAGACAGATAAAACAATCACCACTCTCTTGGTGGAGCTTATTAAGAGTAATGGAGCTTGTCTTGAAAATCTCATTATCAGCAGATTGAGAAGTTAGTTAATTTCACTGCATGTATTAATGTTTTTCTTCTTTCATTTTTTTTTTCCAGCCTCAGGCCCCAACGCAGCCACAGCCTGACACGGTATTGTCACAGCATAGTAGTCACTTGAGTTGTTTAATAATATTTGAGAGGATGTAAAGAATCATTTGAATGTTATACCAGTGTTTTCATTTGCTGCAGTCTGTTTATGAATCAGATAAACTGGGAAAACACACCAAAAGCTGGATGCGAGGGGGAAAATATAGACTTGAATTGTAAAAAACGCGCGAGTCCCAGGGGAGACGCATGTCTCATGCGCACGCCCTGGAAGTAGTGTGTCACACGTTGACAGAATTCCATTCTGTCAAATGTTTCACAGCCATGAGATGCACATAGGAAATGCTTTCAAAACACTTTTCAGTGTGTTTTCCCTGTAAGTGTAGCTATTGAGTAAACAATGGAGTGCTGCCTAATTTTTGAAATTTTAAGATACTTTTCCTATTTCTGCACAGTCGTCAGAAATTAGACGGAGGCTCTCCAGTGAGCTTGCAGTTTTGGCAGCAGGGGTCCAGGCCCTTACATCAGGAAACATTACCCCTTGCTCTGTGGACACTGGCTACAGTGACCAACGTCTGGACACACCCAATTCGTCCATGGGCCCCTACACCCCAGGCTCCTCTACTTCATCTCAGGGTGGTGGAGGAACACCTTATGGCTCCAGATCTGGGACCCCTTTCTCACAAGAGTCGGGCTACACTGGTGGAAGGTTAGTTGTTAATATTTAACAGAGTTACGTGTCAAATTTTCACTTTTGCTTCCACAGTCAAAGATGGGACCTACAGTATTTATTTTGACATCTTTGGCTCTTTATTTGTACATTTTCATTTCGTAGTTTGGGACCTCAAGAAATTTCACAAATCATATGTGTTATTTATCAGTTATTAAGTAGTGTTTTATGAATAAATGCCTTCATTTGTGGCTTCAGGCATCCTGGTTATAACAGTGGCACTTTGGGCAGCGGCTACCCTCCCCAAGACATGCTACCCTCCTCCTCCTCATCTTCTGCTGTTTCATCTACTGTCAGTGGATACAAAGTGTCTCGATACCCAGAGGATGCACAGGAATCTTCAGTGTATCATCGAGGTCGCCCTATATACCCCCCAACCCTATCATACCGTCCCAATGAGCCGCCGTGCTACCCCCCATTCCCCAGTGTTGGAGGGCCAGGGCCACACATGGTGCACCACTGCTCAATGCCTCCGCCACCTTTTGCCACGCAGTACGATCAGCCCCCCATGTCAGACAGAGATAGGGAGCGTGACAGAGACTCAGGTGGGCGCTACGGCGCGGGAGGTATTGGTTCTAGAAGGTCATCTTATCACCACCAGCAGGACACAAATTCTTCCTCAAAGTACCATTCCCATCACTCCCACCACCACTCAGACCGCAGGGATGACAGGGGGTACCGGCGAGACAGCCTGGGCTCCCGGTCAGGTGACCACAGCCACCAGAGACATCGCAACCACCACCATTCTCACAACCACCATGGCGGCAGCAGTAGCCGCAGAAGGAGCAGCCACGACAGAGACAGAGATCGAGATAGAGACAGTGACTACTCTAATAGCTCTGACCCCAGATACAATTCCAACTCATACCACTCTTCCTCTAACAGCATGTCTCCTCCCTCTTCATCTTACTCTGCATACGCCACCTCCAAAGAGCCTGCCTCAGCCCCCCCTCAAGGACTGGATGTTTCCACATCCCCCCCCCCCCCCCCCCCGCCCCCCCCGCCAGCCTCTGTTATTGCAGCGGCTGTAGCTGAGACACTTGGAACAGTGGACTTCAACCAGGATAGTCCAGCCTGTGAAGAGCAGTGGACAAAGCCCAAACGCCGTCCCAGCACCCCACCTGCCCCACCAAAGATGCCTCCACCTTCCTCCCCGCCCCGTCCCTCCATCAGTTCCTCCTCCACCTCACCTTCTTCCACTTCACTCCCCCTTCTCGTTCCTTCTTTGTCCAGCTCCCCACCGCCTCCCCAGCACGACTCCTCTTCCCCTGAGCCGGATTCCACCAATGAGAGTTTACCGTTTGTGTACCACAGCAGCAGCCTTGACTCTCGTATTGAGATGCTCCTGAAGGAACAGAAGGCTAAATTTTCTTTCCTTGCCTCTGATGAGGAAGATGAGGAAGATAGGAATGAGCAGAAGCATAGAGGTGCACGTAGGGATGTAGGCGAACGAAGAGGAGGGTCAGGTGATGTAACAGGGGAGCATACAAGTGGTAATCAGGAGGGAGACAGTGGGGATAAGGCCCACAGGAGACAAGGGGAAAGAGACAGAGATGGTCATAGAGGAAGGAAACGGGGAAAGGAAGGAGAGGGTAGGAAGAGTCCCATTGTACTCACAGCAACACCTTCCTCTTCCACCTGTTCTCCCCACATCCCACCTCCAGAGGAACCCCAGCCCCAGGATGACCTCTCTGCTTCTGGAGCTTTGCAGGAGGAAACTTCACAGGTGGAATCTGCTGATAAACAGGGCAGGACAGGAGCGCACACGCCACCTTATAATGGCCAGAGCCAGGTAAAATCGGTAACATGTAATGAAGCTATTGGGTCTGCACTGTTGTTGTGCTGTCAGATGAAACCAAGTTGCTTCTCATTTTGTTGCAAAGTGGTGTCAAAATGTTTTGATGTTGTATGTAAGCATCATTTATTGCACAATGAGAAGAACAGGCTGTCCTCCCTGCTACTATTTAATTTGTTGCAATTCTTGAGAGGACTAGAAGCTAAGAGTAAAAATCCATAGAATTCACATCTCAGGTGAGCACACACATTTTTAATAAGCAGTGTTAACTGTCCACTACACACATGGACATTTCAGGTTAGAGTTAACTATCTCACCCCTCAATTATCATGACTCTTCATCACATATTGGTAAAGTTGATGGGCCGCTAACTGCTGTAGTAAAATAAAAAAAATTAACTGACTCTAAAGGGCAACGCACACTGGTGGCATGTGACACCTGTTAGAACACCCACACCATTTCAGTGCAAGCTGACAAACTAAACCGTCATCACGGGTTGATGCGCTTCGGTGCATCAAGCTATGCCAGTGTCCTCATCAAAAGAATAAAATACTGAAATGTGGGCATCAGGTGATGTGCACCACCTCCAGTGTACGTTGATCTTAAAGGTGTTTTGGGTATGTTAAATACAAGAAAAAGTTGTAAAAATATTATTAACAAATGCACACATATAAAAGAAAATTTCATACGAGTCTACAAACAAAGACAGAAATTCAAAAAGACCAGTGATAACCAGTGAGGTGCAGTGAGGTTATCACAGTGGTGTTTAAACACTGGTGGTTTCCCAGCTTAAAACAGTAAAAACTCTGTTTTCTTTCAGTCTTCCCCTCATTCCTCAGGGGAAGACATGGAGATCTCAGACGAGGAGGAGGAGGATACTACCATAACAACTGTAACCACCCACCAGCCCTCAGTCACCTCAGGTTCATCGCCCTCTTCGTCCCAGGCTGCCATACCTTCACAAACAACAGAGACATCGTCTTCACCACCACCCATTTCTGACTCTGCACAGCACTTTGGCACCTCCATGCACCCTCCCATACCTTCCTACCCTCCTCATTTGCCTCCTCCACCTCCCCCTGGGTACTCCCTCCAGCCCCCACCTCCCCCAGGGATCCCCCCTCTTCCCCATATGGAGTTGCACCCTGAGTATCCTCCTCCCATGCCCCTCCACATGTATGACTATGCTGCCTCCATGGAGCTGATGAACCAGTACAGTGGTGGGGCTCCTATGTCCTTCCAAATGCAGACCCACATGTTAAGTCGCCTACACCAGCTGCGCATGTTGTCATCCAATGGCACCCCAGACCCTGGTGAGGCAGCCACTGCAGACTACACATCCTACCATCTCCACTCTATGCCGCCAACCCACACACACCACCCTTACATGGACCAAGAGGGGAGTGGGGCCGGGGCTCATTATGACCAGGACCACCGCTACATGCCCCCTCACATGCCCTACCCCTACCCTGACCCCCACATCACTCAGATACCACCTCCTCCACATACAGGCTGGCCACCACATGTTTTACCACCACACTACCAATCTTACATGCCCCTACCTGGTTATGACACCATGCTGCCAGGGGGTAGAGGTGACTATAGGGCTCCCGGGGAGGACATGCCCATGCTGGCTGAGAAGCCACATGAAGGCACAGTGCAGATGGTCCTGGCTGCTCTGATCCAGGAAATGAAAAACATCATGCAGAGGGACCTGAATCGCAAGATGGTGGAGAATGTTGCCTTTGCCACATTTGATGAGTGGTGGGAGAGGAAAGAGACCAAGGCCAAGGTAAGAGAGATTAATTACTACAAGGCTGGAATATTCTTTTTTTTAATAAAGTTGCACCTATCGACCTTGACCGGTGACCTTGAGTGAGGCTTGCCCTTCTGTCTGTATGGGGCACATTCACTTGTGCATTGGAAGTGCTTAGTGTACAAGCAGTGCACAGAAGAGACTGCAGAAACACCCCGGAGAAAGGGAAGCTACATCTAAATCTCCAGCAAATAGTACACAATGAGCAAATTACTGGCTACACATGACATGCATGTATATGTACAGTGTATCCAACCCATGGTAAAACATAGGAAATACAAACTACACACACTTCCAAAAGATCTGTGTGCTCAGTAGGACTGAAGTGACAGGCGTTCTTTTATTACCTGTTGTACCTGTTTATATTTGGAGAAGTACAAATATTGCAGTTCATTTTTAGTTGGAGGGTTGTAAAAAAAGAGTAGGAGAAAGACATGAATGTAAAACTTTAATATGTTGTATTGTTATTATAATTTAATTTTTCATTAAAGAAAAACGTATGCATGCTGTCAATTACAGTTCTTAGAAAATTGGAATCGGCAGTTCAGACTTGGAAAAAAACTGGAAATTGGAATCGGTCAAGAAAATTGCAATTGGTGCATCGCTGTTGGGTTTTGTCTGAACACTAGAAATACTGCATTATTCCCTTTTTTGTGCTGATATTGAAACAGCATTTGTTTCATCAAATTTTATTTGTCCTCATGTACCTTACTGTTACAAATTCATCTTTTTTATTTTCAGTCTAAATAGATACCTTATGGGATGTCACTGCCTTGTAACCAACAAGGGAGTGTTTTGTTTTCTAAAGCTGTCACTACTTTGACTACTTTGTCAGTTTAAACTTGCCTGTGTTTCAGTAGCAAGCAGTCATGCTGCTGCTGACTGTACCATTGTTAATAATGTGAAATCGAATGGTGAAACAGAAACAAAGATCAGAGGCTTGTGATTGATCATTTTCAATTGTAAATATTTTCCAGCCTTTCCAGACAATGGTTAGGGGGGTGTCTGCTTTGCGGGAGGATGAGAAGAAAGAGGAAAAGGTCAACCGTCCACGGGAGCCTCTCATGTCTCTTGTGGATTGGGCAAAGAGTGGTGGCATGGAGGGCTTTTTTCTTGGAGGAGCACTACGCCTGCCTTCCTTTAAGGTAAAAGCACAACACTGCAACTAAGCTTGGACTGTATCTCTGTGTTTGAGCTGTGATTGATAAATTAAAACGCCTACATCTACCCCTCTGATTTCATACATACAATGACAAGTGTAAATTTTACTGTGACAAAGAACTGTATCACCATCATTGTATGCCCTTAGTTTGGACCACTGCATTATAAAAGAACACTCTGTCTGGCGGGTCTGGATTAAAACTGTAGCATATTTAGTCCTAATACCACTGCCAGGCATCCAGACTAATGAATTGTTTGTGAACCTTGTGTATATTGATTTTTAACAAGTACAAAAATATGAAAAAAAGCAGTTTTGGTACAAATTTTGTGGTATAAATTTACAGAAGTGGTCAAAGTAACTGTTCATGTCCTCATTATTGACTTCTATAAATATTCTCCAATTGTGCAGGTGAAGAGGAAAGAACCTCAGGAGCTTGGAGAGGGAGACATGAAAAGGCCACGACCCTCAATGCCGCCAGATGAGGATGATGAAGGTTTGCTGTGCCCATGTTGAAAATTTGAATTGGAGGATTGAATTAATAGACCTGTCGCATTTAACCCATAAAGTGTTGTCTTGTTTCCAGCTGCTGATGGAAGAATGCCAGAGGCAGACAGGCATGGAGTTGAAAGGGACAACAAGAGGAGGAAAAAGAAGCCAAGAAGTCGTAAACCTTGGGAGCTGGACAGCGAGGGAGAAGAAACATCAGATGGCTCCTTGACTGAAAAGGTATGATTTTTTTTTTTATTCATTCTTTTTACTTAAAAATCAAACCCTGACAAAAATATAATAATTCATATTACATCCAAGTAGTTACTTTTTTGCCTTAACATGATGATATTACTTTGAAAAGTCATGTTGTTCTGTTAATGATGGCTAGATGGCAGCATTTCACTATGATCTTTTAGTGTTGTAACAGCCCTACTTCTATGTCTAGGAGGATGAAGAAGAAGAAGAAAGTGAAAAGGAATCTGATGGTAAATAATAAGCAGAAATCACATTACTGTCTTTATGTTTGTGTTTGCGTTCATTTAAGGCAAATTTCTTTCTTTTAGATGATGCCCTCAGTGCTGACAGTGATGACGAGAGCCTCTCTTCATCATCTGAGGACTCTTCGTCTTCAGGGTCCTCATCTTCATCTGCCTCTGAGGATGAGGATGAAGAGGAAGGAGAGAGGGCTGACAGTGAAGGGCCAGACAGCATGGACGAGTCAACAATGGACAGCACAACAGAGAAAGACTATGACAGGTATAAAAGTTACATACATTGTCAGTATTATATGATTAAATAATGTCAGTTTTCACCCTGTTAATGTTGCTGCCTCCAACTTATTCTTCTATTTTACTCAGGGAAAATAGCACAGCTGCTGTTCCAAAGGCAGAGGTCAAAACAGGTTAGTCCAAAGTTCTCATCAATGTCAACATTCAGTGTCAACATGATTTACAACAGACAAACCTGGAATCTGATGCTTTATGGCAGTAAATAGTAGGGATGGGCATTTCTAGCTAAAATACTATTTGACAATTATGATTCATTCTCTTAATCATGGCTAGATGACAGCATTTCATTGTGATAACAGCACCATATTGCTAGCGTTACCATGTGCACGTGCTGTAACTTTACCTGTAAGTCCCCGGTGTCCAATTATCCAGTTGTGACGTGACAGTTTTTCTTGATGGAACCCTTTACAACAAATGCCATCAAATTTCGAAACCCCCCCCTCGACAAAGCTAATTGGTAGCATGTCCTTTGCCATCTTCTTTGTGATGAGGACCCCTGTCTGCTCTGCATGTCAGTCTTCAAATTTCCTTCTTCAGGTGACAAAACTAGTCACTCACAGTTGATCTGCAAACCGCACCCCACTTTGTGCTGGATACCTCGCCTTCAAATGGCTGTGTATAGCGGTTGTCGCTTTATGATAAGTTAACTTAACCTGGCAGTTTGTACTGCACCTCATTTTTGTTTATTTTGTTGAAGAAGTTCCACACAGAACTCTCTGATGGCTCCAGTCTCTGCATGTTTCTGCTGTTTGTATTTGGCGCTGTAGTAAAAAGATATACTGACCTCGTTATCGCATTATTTCCAGACGCTGGTAAAAGCAAGGGAAAACACTGGCTCTGTGATTGTAAGGACAAAACCATAGGCACATTAAATATTTGATTTTATTTCTAAATGTAATACTATTGGAATATTCAAAAAATCATTGCCTATCCCTACTAAATGGCACACCAATGTTAAAAACTATGCAGTGTGTTTAGTTTGGCTCAATCTTAACATACTTCCATGTGCCTCTTAGGTGAAGCTAAGGACAGCAAGGCAGATAAAACAACACTGCTTACCAAGCGCCCGCCATCACCACCATACCCACGTCCTTTGTCCCCAGTTGTACTTGTGCCCCCTCTCAAGAAACGCAGGAAAACTGTTTCGTTCTCCATGGAGGACAGTGACAGTAAAATGCAGCAACCGACTGCACCACAGTCGCCGTCTCCCTTACGAGTGGCGAGTGAATCTCCCGTCCTCTCCCCCGGTCAGCTTTCTGACTCCCCTGTCACTGCTCCACCAACCTCCTCAACTCGTTCTACTCAGAGCATCCGGCTGCTCCCCTTTGCCTCCAAACCAGGTGAAGGCAATGCCCTCATCGTACCCCCAGCAGGACGAACCCAAGATTCTGATGAGTCCAAAAAAGGAACTGTTGTTTCTCCCCAGACCACTCCTGTCAAATCCCCTGGCAAACGAGGTGCAGGCAAAGACTCCCCCAGATCTCCCGTTCTTCCTCCTGTTATGGTTTGCCGCACTGTGCAGAACCTGCCTTTGGATCATGCTTCTATGTGCAGGATGGCCTTTGAAGAGGCCCCTCCTCCACCCCCTGCCAACAAACGGTCCAGAGGCAGACCTCGGACGACCAGCTTGTCTTTGTCGACCTGTCACTCCCTCAGAGAGGAAGACGAGGATGAGGAAGAAAGTAAGCAGAGGTTGCGACTCAGAGAGCAGCTTGGGGCGTCCAGTCTTCTGCAGCTGGCCTCAGCTTCAACCACTGACCTGTCTGTTTTGGCAGATGTAGCCTTGAAAATGGACCCTGATGCCGGGGACTCCGAGGAGACGGAGACATCAGATGAGGCAGAGGAGCATAAGATGGAAGAGGGTCTGTTCTCCCCAGAGTCACTGGCCCGGATTATGAGTCCAGAGGGTGTAATTGTCATTATGGAGCACAACTACTGCAGACCCCCAGTTCTGCCAGCACCACCCAGTACCAAAAGGACTTTGTCCAGACAAGACTCTTCTGTCTTACTCCCAGCAGACCTCAACACTATTTCTGGGGTTCTTGAAGCACCAGAGGAGGTCATTGGAGAGGTGATACCATCCAGGCCAGATACAGGAGAATACTTGTCTGCAATGGGAGTGCTGTGTGAGTCTGAAGATGTGGGCCATACCACAGCTGTACCTTTATCATCAAAGAAGAAGAGTGTGATTGGAAAGGGTTTCAAAACTGAAAATGACAAGAGCAAAAAGAAGAGAAGAAAGGACAAAGAAAACCTGGAGGTTCTTCACACAAAAAAGCAGAAGGAGCAGCCAGGCAAGAAGCAAAGAAAGCAGAAACTAGAGGTGCGTGGGAGTTTTTGTGGTTTGTTCCTGTAAACGTTTGTGAATGCGTTCGTAATGACAAGCACTGTGTCATATGCAATCATGTGTCACACTACTGTGAGACAGTTGAACCCTGACTCGTCTCAGACCAATTTTAGGTTTTCTGCTTTCTTGGAAATGATATGTCTGGGTTTTCCCTCTTGTAAAAATGAATGGCTTTATGGTCTATCTGTGTCTTGTCCATGCACAAGTTGTCATACTGTATGAAACTATTACTGGGATTCATCAGTGGAAATACAAGTATGTATATATTTGGATATAATTAAAAAAGGTAGAAAACTGTCACGAGCAGAATTTAAATGGCCAGCCTTCTGTCTGTGGGGGGGATACATGGTGGATTTTGGCCAGAAGATGTTTTTCGAGGAGCACACAGAGGGGCAACGATGTTGTCTTTGCTCTGTACAATATTTAATGCAGAATAAATTAGTCAGTGATACAGTCAACACAGAAAACTCAGTATTTTATGTAAAACGTTCAGTTTGTGTTTTCATGCTTAAAGCTAATGTCAGCCACCTGTTAAAATGCTGTGGCTTGCTTTTTCTATTAATTAGTGCACAAAATGTATGATTGATCAGTCATCTGCTGAGCTAAGACAAACACGTCCTGAGATATTGTTTTAGTTAGCAGATGATGTTAAATGTTTGGTCTTTGCTGTGTAGAACAGTACCTCTTCTTGTTCCCTGCATTCACATTTTGCACACTTTTGACATATGTATAAATTTAAATATATAACTGCAGACTTGCTACATGTCCACACAGCCTTTGTGCTTGGCAGTAGTTGTGTTAATTACTAGTAGTATTCCTCTTCCACTGTGCAGGACTCAGACTTTGAGGAGGATGTGGATGTGGAGGAGCTTGAGTCTGGAGAGCTGTCCAGCTCAGACACAGAGGAGGAGGTGGTTGAAGAAGTGAGGAAGAGCGAGCGTCTCTTTCTGCAGGAAGCAGGGATAGTGTCTTCCCAACGCTGGCCGAAACCTGTCCCAGCACCCGAGCCACCAGCTGTGAAGTTTGACAACCGTAGTGAGTTTGAGCAGATGACCATCCTATACGACATCTGGAACTCTGGTCTGGATGGCGAAGACTTGATGTTGCTGAAGAGAACATATGAAAAGCTGCTGCAGGATGACCACAACTCTGACTGGCTCAATGACACTCACTGGGTTAACCACACTGATATCCTTATCAATGACTACTTTCTGCATAAGTATGTGTCTGTGATTGCCATGGAAATTAACCCAAACAATCTATGGCTGTTGTCAATAGTAGGCTATTTAATATTTTAATGATTTATTTTAAACAGATGCAACTTGTGTCATTGTCATATCACTGTGTGGTTTCCTGCTATTGCCCTTGACCTTTGAGTTGCACTAACCAATTTGCCAAACCCTCGGCGTAAAAAGAAGAGTGCAGATGGGCAGCTTCGTGAGCATGTGACTGGTTGTGCCAGGAGTGAGGGTTACTATGCCATCAGCCGCAAAGAGAAGGACGTCTACCTGGACCTGGACTTGCCTGAGCAGGTCATACGGGAGGTGGAGAATGTCGACACCTCGGTAGGCACACTGCCAATTATATTCTCTATCTCCAGTATAAAGCCAACATTTTCTGTTTTTTAATAAGTACAAATACAACTCTGGTCCTCCAGGCTTGCCACTTAATTTTGAAGTAGCCTGTTTAGCTGTGTTGTACTGACATGATCAAAGTAGCGATTGAGAAACTAAGGTAAAATGCTTCAGACATAGTAGTTTAAAATGTTTGACAGTTGTGGGGCATACCGTAGCCGAGTGGTTACAATACGGTGCACCATATACTTGGCAGCACACTGTGTGCGCGATGTTGTTGCATCGAATCCGACCACCGACATTTGTCGTAGGTCTCCCCTGCCCTCTCTCTCTCTCGCTCTCTCTCTCTCTCTCTCTGTCTGCCTTGTTTCACTATCAGTAGTAAAGGCTAAAAGCCCACAAATATAACTTGGTGGTAGTCAGGTGTATTTGATTGTGCGGCAAAGTTCACATAAAAATCAAACGGTTCCAGATGACAGAGCTGTGGGAAGAATTTATGTTCTCCAGTTCTGTGCTGCCTCCGTAAGCAAATTTCAAGGTGTCCTGTGGTTGCTGAGTATGATTATTACAGATGGTTAATGATGCTTGATAATACATCTGAAGAGCTGGAGTAAGTAAAGCTGGTCCACAGTCATTTGGCTCAGATGAACAGGTCAATATAGGCACTGGAATAATACACGTGAATTTCAAATGGTAGAGGTGAAAGTTGATGGATGTGTGGAAAACAGCTTCACCTTTACCATATGTGAGATTTTGCAGAATTATACAATACAGTAAGTTGTGGTTTAACCAAGTAAATGTTCTATAAAAAAAATTGATGCAATAATAAACTCCATATCTATTTTGTTCTGCACAACCATTAACGTTACAGATTATTTAAGGTCAAAGGTCAAGGTCAAAGTGTTTGTCATATGCACAGTTAGGAAACGTGTTTCCCTGTGCAATGAAATTCTTACTTTGCCGTCCACATGAATGCCACATAATACAAGTGAAATATAAAGTAGATGAGCAATAACACAAATCTAAATAGGCAGTAACACAAATCTAAGGCACTTTAAAGCAGCAAGTGAAAGAAGAACAATAAAAATACAATAAGAACACAACATAATGTAGAGAGAATATATGCTACGTGGGAGCCGTGAAGTGCAAATACTCAGCAGTGAGTGTGCAATTATGCATGTGCAAACTGAGAAGGTAAACAGTACAGGTGGAATTACATGAGGTAGATCCTGAGTCAGCTGTTTAGGATTCTGATGGCAGAGGGAAAGAAAAAAAGAGTTTTTCAGTCTGGAGGTCCTACACTTCACACTTCTGAACCTCCGGTCAGAGGGTAGGGAGGCAAACAGTCCGTGCTGGGGGTGGGTGGGATCTTTGAGGATGGAGGCAGCTTTCCTACGCACCCTGTGGTGATAAATGCTATGTAGAGAGGGCAGTGGAGTCCTGGTGATCTTCTCCCCAGTCTTTACTAGTCTCTGCAGGTACTTGCGGTCCATAGCAGTAGTGCTGCCATACCAGACAGTGATGCAGCTGGTCA